TTGCGATCGGGATGCGTGGTTATCGCGTGGTGGTTGCCACGTGGTCGACACGTGTAGTCGGTTGGTCACTAGTCGTTGTCGTTCGGATCGTCACAGCCTGACAGCAAACCTCAAAGAGACACAGCAACAAAGAGAGACAGAGACAGAGAGAGAGAGTGATTAAAAATGCCAAAAGGGAGGTTCAGCTGATTCCCTGCGTTCGAGAATGGTCGGCGCAATAGCCTCAATGAAGGAGTCCAGATGGCTGACCATCACAGTTTGAGCCTGGACTTCGCCTTCAGCCGCCTGACCTACATCGTACCTGCCCAGAAACGATGCTCCGAGCACAACGCGGGCTTGTTCGTCCAAAGGAAGGTCACTAAGTTCCTTCAGTTCCGCCTGGAGCTCATCATGCAGGTCTTGAGGAACAAGATCGATCGCTGCCTGCAGGTGTGAGCAGGTCCCCATGAAGATATGACAATTTTACTCACAACCTTGGTTCGCGGGTCCGCATGGTGGAGGAGGAAGGCGCAAACCAGCGGCATGATTTTCTCAGGCTTGAGTGCGTCCTCGGCCTCGTCCTCGGCGTCGTCCTCGGCTTCGCCGGCGTCATCCACAGCGTCGTCCTCGGCGTCGAAGTTGGCATCGGCAGCGTCGTCCGCTGTGTCGTCTTCGGCGTTGTTTTTACAGGATTTAAGACTTAAGAGGCCTTAAAGGGAAGATGCGAGGATGTGGAAGAAAAATGACGTCCTTGATACAGAGGGGTTGTCGAGCTAGGATAGACTCGGCGGTTGTATATGACAAAGAGGGGTTTGTGTGTGTGGGGTGGTTTGTTTGCTGTGATGCTTGCTGTGCACGTGGCGCATGATGGGTTGTTGGATGAGTGAGTGGAAAAGAAAGTGAGAGTAAACCTTTAAAAAGGAAGAGAAGAGTTGACGACGAGAAAGGTTGACGTGTCGTGGTATCAAAGGATGGGCACAGGTCTGCGCCGGCCTTCTCTTCGACGTGTCGTGGGCGTCAATGCATGGCTGATCAATAACGAATGAATTGGCGAATTGTCATCTTGTCGACGTATCTGATCATCTCAAGATGGACAGAGCTCAGCGCTCGCCTCCTCTCCTGTTAACGATCTAGCAGAGGGGTTGATGTCATGTACTGTCGGCGGCGTCGATGACAATTTATTTCTCAACGAATCTGAGGATCAACGCAGGTCTGCGCCGACCATGCCCTACTTCTCTCCTGATTCTGGCAACCAAGGAAATTCACAAGGACGGAACGATTTACACCACAACAAACATTTGGCATACAGATGCGCAGCGAGCCAGCAAGTACTAGTTACAAATTGAATTGATGCCCAGTCGCTCAGTGGTTAGGTCTGGCAGGCCGCATCCTTCATTTGGTGGTTCGGCAGCAAGGCCTCGTGCTCCACATCCTCCGCGTACTCGTCTCCCATAATGGGAGTGCCGATCACGTATCAATGGAGGTGGACGCATTGCTCTTGACGCTCTTTGCGCTCTTGGTGCTCTTGGCGCTCTTGGCGCTTTTCGGCGACGACTGGGGCGTCGATTTGGTCGACATGGTTAAGGTCGGCGACACCTCGCGGGTCGTCCAGGTAATGTGGCACGAGATCGTCAACGCCAGCCCACGTGTAGGTCACTGGGCGCAACTTGGACTTGTCGTTAATCTCGACCTCGCATCCGCTCCACTTCAGGCCTTTCTCCAACTCACCGGGCACATGGTGATAGAGGTAGGGGCTGGCAATGTCCCAAGGAATCAGCTCGCGGTCGCGGTGGCCCCCGGAATCCGTGACGCGCCACATGTGATCCATGCAGGAGTGAACTACCGCATCGCGGCCGCTGGCGTCCCACTTGTCGATGATGGCCCCGCAGCCAGGTGCGTTGGCGTTGAAGGTGTCTCGAGCCTGAATTCGTCAATAGCAAACAAGGTGATGGAATGCGTGAGAATAGAAAAAGGGGAGAAAACAAGGTCGGGGGACGGTTGCGAACACGTACCACCTGCACAATGTCACCAGTCGCCTCTTTGATCCAGTCGTGCCACTCATCGGGGGAGTCTGGCTTCCCTCGGTTGAGCCAGCCGTGCTCATAGCGCAGCTGGTCGTTGCTGGCATCAGTCGACAAAGGCTAACGAGACTCACAGCTCAATAATAGCATCCACAACGCCCATGGTGAAGTCGACCTCTTCAATACCCCCAACACGCCCCTCGCGCAACACGTTGGCAATCTTGCGGCTGGCCTTCTGCGCTGCGAAGGGAAGCGGATACGCTGAGCGGCAGGCATGTACTTGATCGGGGGGTAGAAGTAGCTCTGGCAGGGCCATTCATCCCTCGGGAACGTCAGGGGGTCGTATTCGGCTTCCGTTGGGTCGATGGTGCACATAGCGGCGTAGGTGATGGATGGGATGCGAGAGATAATGATGGTGATGGTGGACTAGCATGAATTGGTGACGCTGGGTTGTGGGAGATGGGGAGATCGATGTGAGTGTCTGATCCCGCTTTGCCGCTGCTACACATCACATCTCCTTGTCGTACATAAATAACTGTGCAACCCATTCCAAATGATCTCTTGTTCTCGTTGTTTGGTTCCAGATGACCCTGAAATTTACACCGACCAGACGTAGTCTTGTCGCTCGCCACCCACCCGTCACACCGATGACTTTGTGCCGGCCCGTACATCATCCTCAAAATCGACTCGGGCTCGCACCGCACCATGGCCAGGCCTAATGGCATCAGACTCTTCGCCGAGGCATGAGCGGCGCTTGACTGTTGCACAACTGCCCATGACCCCGCTCCATCGTTGCTCTTGGCTTCCGCGCCCTTGACCGCAGAAGCGCACCCTCCCGCGCCTCCCGAAGTCGTCGACGGGACCAAGCAGAAGCATACCAGGCGACCTCTGTCGCTAAGTACGTCTGCATGTCTGTTCCGAGGGAAACGCGCCTCAGAACGCCCGGCTGAACCATGCTTTTCAGCCATATACATCCGACAGCGTCGGCCTGGCGAGATTTCCGCATCACGTCGGCAAGTGGTCCGTGCTGCAGCACAGTGCGGCCTTGGCTCGGGTGAGCGACGAGCCACACTCCTAGCTGCGACTGACTCGCCTACTGTAGCCGAAACAAGATCTAGATTCTCCGCCATGTATGGTCCGCCGTCACTTCACGGAGTGGCACAGGTCTGAGAGTCTGCTTGGCCGATGGCAAGTTTGTGGGATCGTGTGACGGAAGCCCAGTCAAAACGCATTTCATCATAGCATACAGCCGTGTTCACAAGATCAAGTCTTAGGCAATTCACTTGCGCTGAAGCCGAACCATTCTGAGCTACAAGATATCATCCCAGCGCATTTGGGGAGCTCCAGCACCGCTCATCAGCCTGCCATTATTTGCGTCACCAAGACGAGGCCGTTACAATGCTGCCGTCAATGCTGGCCGCGTGCCGTACTCACGTTCTCCCAGCTCGAGCGCGAGCTGCTCTGGTGTACGCGTAGCAGCGTACTCCTCGAGAGTCATGAACTCAAGGCCCGCCAGGTCCACCTCTCCTAGCTGTCGGATGACCTGCACTCGGACACGCTCAGCGAACACATCTTCTACGCCCCTCCCGCCCATCTCGGCCGGAGCAATACCAAGCGTCATGGGGCTCAAGGCATGAATGTTCACAAGCGTGACGTGCATCTTGGGGGCGGCCGCGAGCATCCCAGCGACAGAGTACATTAGTGCCTGGTGCTGCTGCTTGAGAGCAAAGTCGGGATCGGCGCGGTCGAGCTCGTGTCGCGCATCAAAGAGGAACACGGCGGTGGCGAGGTCCGCCGGCCGACCCACATTGTCCACCTGTATCATGGGCGAATGGAGGGGCGAGTTGAGGACGAGGCGCCTTACACCGTGGGGGATGCGCAGGCCGGGCATGGTGCTCCAACTTGTCGGGCCGAGGAGGATGATCTCGGGCGCGGTGATGGGCCCAGAGAGATCGGGCGGCCGTGGCGCCTCGCTCCACCCGTCTCTGCTCACGGCCATGCGCAGTGTTTGGACGTGCGTGAGGAACGAGGGGAGGGGATGCAGCCCCGTGGGCGGGAATACCTCGCCAAGATCCACTGTTGTTGTGTGTGCGAAGACTCTGCTGAAGAAGCGGGAGGCGGATGACGGCCACTCGGCCGCCTGGCTTCGCCGCAGCACGGGCGTTGGGAAGTGCGGCGCGAAGCCCGTGCGTGAGCGCACTCTTACACCTCGCGCCACAGAGACATAGGCAATCGTCACATCGGGCGCTAGGCGCGAGTCGACCCAGTCCCGCAGCGAACGGCTCACGAGGCGCAAGCGGAGGAGAGACGCGGAGGGCGCAGCCCCGAGGATAGCTTCATAGATGTGCGGAAAGGCTTTGTGGTCGAGCACCGCTTGCGAGATGCGGGCGGGCTGCTGATCCGACATGAAGAGGTGATGGCCGATCGAGCAGCCGTGACGCGGACTACCCGTGTTGGCAGCGAGATTGACACGATGATGGGTAGATACTGCACCGCAGTGAGATCAGGAGGAGATGGGGGAGACGAGGGAGGCGAGGGAGACGAGGAGGATATGATCACATGAGAGATGGCTGTCGATCACCTCGCAGAGCTTTATCAGTCCACCCAGGAGTAGATCGCGAATGATGACGATAGCGGAAGCACTTTGATGACGTCCAGTCCATCACGAGCCGTTGCCCAGACCGACCTCCAGGCGTAAATCACCGACTCCGTCACTCTTGAAGAGGCTTCCCAACACCGCGTCCTTGACAAAGGCCTGGCAACGGATTGGTACGCAACTACGCAACTGTTGTGCATGTCGGAGGTCACAGTCAGAGTTCTTTCACCCTCCGCTTCGTCGGGACAGTTAACCTCCTCCACCCTCCACCCTTTTCTCCTCCCACCCCGTCGGTACACCCCATCTCCCGCGTTGTGAATAGTGCATGCAAGTTGTAGTGTACAGACGTGACGTTTATGCTTAGGGGCGGCCGAAGGGGCGACGGCGGTTGGGAATCTTCTTCGCGCGTCCAGAACGGATGACGAGGCCGAGCATGACGGTCGTCGCGGCGCACAACGAGAACCATGTAATGGCGTACGTCATGTGCTGGTTGCGCAACTCGATCTGTGGGGGCCGCCCGACGGGCACGCCATTCGCCATGCGCAGGGACGCGGGCACGCCGCTGTCTCCGTCTGCTGTCAGCGCACTCCATGGCCGTGGCTTACGGTCAATCACATCAACGAGCACCGGCTGCACGCCGCGCGCCTCGCCGCCAACCCACTCGGCCATGTCAGGAATGTCCTTCCAGAACCAGCGGTTCTGCTCGGGCTTGTTCTCGGGGACAAAGTATGACTTGGCGTCGTGATCAATCTTCGTAAGCATCGCCTCGATGACCACCTCGTCGCCAGGCCCGCCGTTGGCGCCGAGACCGGGGCAGGGCTTGCGGCCCTCGCGGATCGCGTCGCCTTCAGCAGTCAGGATAAAGCCCTGGTTCACGAGCACGGTGCTCCCTCCCTCGGCGCTGCGGTCGAACGGCACGATCAGGTGGTAGCCAGCGATGCCATCGCGGGTCTGCGGCCCCTGCAAAATGGGCGGGCCACGGAAACGACCCTTGAGGAGGACTCGGCGGAAAGCAAAGTCAGGCAGAGCGGACATACTGGCATTAGCGCAGCGTGAAGAAGCCATCACAGACAACTCACTTGACATGAGGGGGAAGGGCGATCGGCGCCTTGGTAAGGTTGTGGTCGATCTCGTCGATGAGAGCAAGTTTCCACTTGAGTCGTTGAACCTGCCACACGCCCAGATATCCACAGAGAATCGGAGCGAAAGCAAGCAAGATTGTGATGGGTCGGAAGAGTGTTGAGCGCATCGACGTGCTCACGACAGTGGATGCGTGCCGCGAGCCAAAAGTGAAGCCGGCGCCGGCGCCGAGCCCAGCGGTGAAGTTGAAGGCGGACCGCGGGCTGGTGCGCGGCCGCAAAGGCGCCCCGCCGGCCCGAAAGGCCGCACGGAACGCGGAGAAGATGGGGCGGGACATGATGCGACGTTGAGAGCGCACCACCGCTCGCGTTCAGTTCGCCGCCTGCCTGTCGGCAGCGTCCGAATATTTGCTTCCGTCTCCGAATCGGTTGACGGGATTGTTGACATCATCTGAGGCTCTCCGTTCACATCACCTTCAAACATGCACGCGTCCAGCTCGGCGCGCCCACTCGAGGCTCTTCCTAGCCTCGCCGCGCTGCAGAGCTGGGTACATCGGCCACAGGCGCGGGCGCCATGCTTCGTGAGCGACGTGTATGCACTGCGCGCCCTGCGAGAGGAGCATGGCACCATCACGCGCCCGGCCAAGGGTGAGTGCAGCGGTAACACGGCTAACATACAGATGTATACCTCCTCGAACGCTTTCCATGCAAGTTTGTGGAGCTGGTAGGCTGGGCTGCTGGCGTTGACCACAAGGACGCGTCCATCACTATAACATGTGCGTCTTCCCTCACGCGGATGAGACAATGTGCTGATGGCAGTGGACGATGGCGATGGCCTGTGTGTTCTCAACGTCATTGTCAAGCTCGCGCATGTCGAGATCCCGGTGGGGGGGAAAGGCAAGGGGAAGATGGAAGATGGCAAGACGGAGGAGGAAACGCCCGCACAGAACAAGAGCGAGACTCGGTCTACATTTCGCTCCGCACGACAGCGAGATTTCCGATCACGCCCCCAACCGCCCCAGCCACCAGCCAAGGTATATGTCCGGCCCAACATCCAAGTGGGTGATATGTTGCGTTTGTCCGGCTACGTGGAGGACTGGGCGCGCCGAACAGAGACCGTACGGCAAGTAGTCGTTGACGAGGCGTCGGGGTCTGGATACATCCGTGAGCCTCCTGCCGGCTATGGCTGCTAACGATAGGTGTCGTGGACCCGGACGAGCAGTACGAGCATGTTGAGGCCGTGAATCACATGCGACGCGAGGTATACTCCCGTCCTTTCGAACTCCCTGCAGCAGAGCCACCATCTTCAGTGCGCTCATCTCCCGCGAAGAGCATGGCATCGACTTGGGATGCAACTAGCGATCTCGACGCCGTGGAGGATGACCTGGGACCAGATCTTCCCAACCCTTCGAAGCTATCGTCCAAACTCCTCAACGAGAAGACATTCAAATACTACCTGATGGATCACCTCGTTCGCGAGACGAGACGGGCGTTAAGCTCCGCGACTCGGGTCCTGCTTGCCGATCCCTCGGCGCAGGTGAAAGAGCTCGCAGCCCTTTTCCCCGAGTATGCGGCGTGCACTGTCCCTCCACGTCGCGGACGAGCGACCCTCTCACGGTGCGTATCTCCGACCCCAACAACGCCAGCCTGTGAACGCAAACCGTCCCCTACTCCCCTGCCACAGCGGCTTGCAACACCCGACATCTTCACACCCAGCCGTGCGGAGAACACCCCCTCCTATGAGACACCTCGTCCTCGAGTCACGTTTCGTTCCAAGGCCGAACGCGAAGCTGCCAGGGTCCCGCTCGACAGCTGTAGAGGTTCCCCAGCAAGTGTGTCGGGTGAAAGAACGCCAATGGCGCGCCCTTTGCGCCGTTCTCTCCCCCCCAAGGCTGAGCGAGAACGGTGTTTCAAGCCAGGTGCCAATCCCTTTGTTACTCAGGCCACGCCCCGCGCCTCACCCGCCAACGTCTCCTTCCTCTCGTTGGAACCTCTCTCCTTTGAGCCGTTCACCGTGCCTGCTCTTCTGGCAGTGGAAAGGTTACGCGCTCTCGCCGCGCTTGTGGTAGACGCTAGGGCGCGGCGCGAGGAGGGCGAGCGTCGGAAACGTGTTAAGGAGGGGCGCGTAACACTCGAAGATGAGAAGATTGTCGCCAATCGTCGTGCCCGTGGCCTCCGCAGCAGCGATTACAAGCTCACCGACGAGGAGCGGCAGCGCAAGATGGCGAGATTGGTCACGTGGGCGATACGCACGGCTGCGTCTGAAGGCGAAGTGGTCCAGGTCGAAGGCACGAGTCACTCGCTGCGGACAATGGAGAGCTTCGACTCCTGTGTGTCTTTGTCTGTCTTGTCTCAAGAAGCTGGATACGTTCCTATTCCACCGGAACTACTCGGCCCGCTTCTTCTTCCTCTGGCCGCTGCCGCACGCGCCGAGATCCGCCCTACATTCCGGAGCAGAGCAGAGCGTGAGGCCAACGTTTGGCATGAGCAACGCGTTGTCGACACCCACGTTCTCCTCACGCGATTACGGCAGTGGGGTGAGGATGGGCGATGGGAGCGCGTCACGGAGAAGCCCGTGCAGGAGGCGGCCGAGTGGGCCGAGGCGTCGGGCCTTCTCCGTCTCGGGGTGTGATGAGAACCTGGACCGCTGGCGTGCACTGCGACGCCGACAATACACCGCCAAAGCGCCGCAGTAGGCGAGGCATTCTGGGAGGAATCGGAGTCGGCTAACAACGGGAGCGGCAGCAAATTGTCGCGTGGACGGTAGATTCCCCGTTTCGCCTGATACCGGGCAACAATTACCCGCCATCCGTATACGACAACCGCAATTCCAATCGCGGCAGGCGCATTTGACGAGCAGAGGAGAAGTATTGTAACATGAAGTAGTACAACTGTGTCTCTATGGGTTGACTGAATGTTGTCCGGGGGCATGTATGTAATTAATGGAAATGTGGGTTATTCTATGATCTATGGGAGTGGGAGTGGTGTGAGGTATTGAGATTTGGTCCAAGGGCAAGCGATTGCAAGCGCGCAGGCGAGTGGTTGCTCAAGGTGCTTTGCGTGAATTGCTTTTCGAGGACGAAGGAGGATGAGAAGACGTGTGGTGCCGAGTGTCGCGCGCACACCACAGACCGCCGATGCTAGGGAGAGGATCGCATATCCGCTTCGGAGAGTCCTGGTCGGGTGCTCGGCCATGGTCGGCGTCGGCGCCTGCGGTTGTATCGGGCGCTGACTGGGTGGACAGGACGACCCTCATGGGCAGCGCCTGGACACGAGGGGGTGAGGGACGGGGGGAATGAGCGCGGCGGTCTCGCTCTTGGCGGGCCTGGCGGTGCTCGTGCGCGCGTGGGGGCTCGCTCACTCGAGATCGGGGGTGGGGCTCTGTGCGCCGATCGTGTCGACTTCCGGATGCACGTGCGGGAGCCGGCACGGAGCTTGGCCGGCGCGGTGACGGGGGCTCGACTTTGACGCGCTGAGCTGGCGGCGCCGAGGCGGCGGCGGCGGCGGCATGCGGCGACCGACGGCGCTTGCGCAGTGCCGAGCCTTCCAAGTGCGGCTCGACGTGCAGTCGCCGAGGCTTCTCGTCCAGCACTTCGATACGCGCGTACTGATACTCGCGTTCCGCACCGTGCGGCCGGTAATGCCGGAACCGTAACCCGAGGGCGGTGGGCTCGTGCTCCTCACGCTCCTCATGCTCCTCGTGCTCCTCGTGTTCCTCAACTTTGATGCTGACGCCGGCGCCGGGCCGTTTCGCAATAGGCTTCGTATCGGTATCCTTGTCCCTGCGGGATGATGTGCAGCCCGGACCACACTGTGTGGGGTTGAGGGCGGCGGGCTCGTGCGCGTCCGGGTCATAGTAAAAGGCAGGGAGGGTGCGCTGGCCGCTGGCATATGGCGAGCCATGGTCGACAACATTGAAGTGGACGGCGTCGCGCGCTGCGCCGGAGACGACTGCAGGGTTAGTGGCGTTGGACGGTGGCGATTGGGGAATTTGGCGCGTTTCGCTGCAGCGCGGGATGGATGCACTCACTTGATGCCCAGTCGCGGCACTGATTAAAGCGGCGACGCGCTTCGGACGCTTCGGCGAAGAGACGGGAGCGCTGTGATGGGCTACGCAGCGCGGGCAGCGGCGAGGTGGGCGCCGACTGCACCTGGCGGTGGTGGACGCAGCCGCAGGCGGTGTATGGTGCGGCCTCGGCGATCTCTGGACGCGCAGGCGCGAGGGGTTCGGGCATGAGGGGAAACATCGCCGGAGGGAGGGAAGGGGGAGAGGGGGAGAGTGGGACGGGGCCGATGTGGTGGGCGGGGTGGTCGTGGGAATGGGTGGTAGTAAGTCGATGGGCAGTGAGGTAGTCGCGTTCAGAACGATGGCATGTTAAGACAAGTTGGAGGTGGGCGCGGGTGGGCGTGGGTTTGATATCGCCTGGCGTACGGGCGTATGGAGGTGGATTGTGTTTGTGCGTGCGGTAATGAAAGGAGCGAGAGTCAGAGTGAGAATGAAAGTGAGGGTGAAAGTAGTGAGGCCACTGCGTTGATTGTTGTAGTTCGAATAAGTGACAAACTCTTCGAAATCATCGAGACGACGTCGAGCTCGAGGTCGTGCGAGGTCCGTCCGCTTGCCGTCCGCCACATAGCTCTGCCATCTCTCCTAATAGTTTGCCTCCTCTGTCACAGCGTAAAAGCAGAGGTTCTAGCGACATGCACGAGGACGTCATGTACGGATATTGCCGCGCAACAGCAGAATTGCATTGTTGCAGGCGATAGCACAGCCTGCAGCCGAGATGACTCCACCAAAACAGCCGAGACGCCGTATGACATTGAATGACGGAGATACAAGTCCGCTCGGATCACGGATATACCACCTCCGTCTCGCTTGCACGCGGGCTTCTCCGCGGCGGGCCTACCTTCGGAGCATTGGTCCCACATGCCTATTGTGTCCACGTGCTTTATAGGCAAGCAACCATGCGACTCACGCGACTAATCGTTATCGGCATGTGACGGGCACCTTTACTGGCGGCATGCGGCAGGCAACACAGCAATGACGACCACGACACGACACGTACCTTCCTCCCTCGCATCAACCCAACCGCGACTTTCCCTCCTTGCCACTCGCCATTCACTACATCACATTCAACATGGACTATTCTACTCTCCGCGATACATTCAAGCGCGACGCCTGGACCGATACGCAAGAGCGAGTGCGTTACCTAACTCTTCTTCCCCACAGGCGTTCCGGTCGTATACTCGGCTAGATGGCGAGGCCGGCCGCTTACCCGCGCATCTTCCTCCCTCTTGCCCACCGCGACGGGCCACCGTGCCGGAGCTTCCGCTCATGCTGCCCAGCTGATGCTGACCACAGATTCTGCTTGAGCCGTTCACATATCTCAACTCAGTACCCGGCAAGGAGGTGCGATCGCAGCTCATTGCGGCATTCAACGCGTGGCTTAACGTTCCTGAGCCGGACCTCGATGTCATCCGCCACATTGTGTCCATGCTGCACAATGCGAGTCTACTGTGAGTAGCCGAGGGCGAGCGAGGCGAGCGTGGTGCAGAACGTCTTGTCGCTTGGATGGCGAGGCAGCCACCATATCACGGCATCCGGCTGACATCAGCATGGACGACGTCGAGGACGACTCGGAACTGCGCCGTGGAGTGCCTGTCGCACACCAGATATACGGCGTGCCGCAGACAATCAATACGGCCAACTATGTTTACTTCCTCGCATTTCAGGAGCTGCTTAAGCTGCGGGAACGTGGCGGCAAGGAAACGCCCGACCTCGTGGGCATGGTGACTGGTGAAGCAACAGGATGCCTCGGGTAGCTGACAATAGAGGAACTCCTCAACCTGCATCGGGGACAGGGGCTGGACCTTTTCTGGCGCGATAGCTTGACCTGTCCAACGGAGGAGGAATACGTTCAGATGGTGCTTGGGAGTGAGTGCCAGAAGTTAAAAATTGACAGGGCTAACCGTTCAGAGACCGGGGGCCTGTTTCGCATCGCTGTCAAGCTCATGATGGCGCGGTCTGAGTCCACGTTGTACGTGCGAATTTTGGTCATGGGGTGTAACACTAACATCAGTGACTTCGTGCCACTCGTCAACCTCATCTCGGTCTGGTTCCAGATTCGCGATGACTACATGAACCTGGCCTCGGGAACGGTGAGCTGCATCGCGCGCCTCAAGCTGACCCCAGTACGCCGACAACAAGGGCTTCGCAGAAGACTTGACCGAGGGCAAGTTCTCCTTCCCTGTCGTCCACGGCGTGCGCGCCAACCCGGGCAACCGCCAGATCCTCAGTGGGTTCCACACACCTCAGCACGACTGACCGCAGACGTGTTGCAGAAGCGCACGACGTCGCATGCTCTTAAGGCGCACACGGTAGACTACCTTGCCAAGGAGACGAAGTCATTTGAGTACACGCGGGGCGTCTTGGATACTCTCTTGAGGCAAATCAAGGAGGAGATTGGGGAGCTCGGTGGAAATCGCGCTTTGGAGAAGATCATCGAGGTGCTTGAAAGCACGCCGACGGAGCACAAGTGATGTAACTCGGACAACCGGACTATCGACAGCATGACTACTCTTGTACCATACCATAGCACATCTACTTGTTTATACTTGTACACATAATGGACGTTGCTTGTAGACATGGATGGGTGTCAGAAGGAACCACGCGGTGCCTGCGGCATATCTGTGACCAGTTAGTTCAGGCGGTAGCACCCTACGCACTTTTGGACACCTCCTTAGCTCGTGCGGCCTGCTCCTTGCGCGCCAGCTCAGCTTGCCGATTAGAGAAGATGGCGCGGTGCAGCGCAAACTTGCGGTGTGCAGGTGGTGCAGGCGACGAGGGCACGTTGACAGGGCTGACAGGAGCCGGTGAGCGAGGAGACTTTGGAGATGAGCTGTCCTTTTTTTCTTCCTGGCCGAAGCCTGGGAGTGATGGGAGGTAAGAGAGAAGACCTCCACTCTCCTTCTTCTTCTCGTCGTCCTTATCGTCCTTCTTCTCCTCCTTGGCGTCGTTGCGTCGCGTCTCGCGCGCTCGATACTCCTCTACGATCTTTCGGACGTCATCGGCGCTTGGGCCCGGTGGTGGCGTCGCAATGGGTGTTGCGCTAGTGTGAGCCTCTGTTCCGCTGTGCAGTCACATCTCTGACAGAGCAACAACTCACAATCCTCTGTGCACGTGTGCAAGGCGTTAACGGGAGGTCAGAGTAGATGGTGGGGAGCGGAAGGAGGTTGCGATAGAGAAGACGATGGCAAGGAAGCGGGAGATTGCGGGGCAGCCAAAGATGGCGAGCAGGCGCAACGTCAGCAATCCGATTAAACCTGCGATATATTGCACGCACACATCTGATAGATGTCCCTCACAGGTATACAAGAAGTCCTCGGTCTTGAGCGTTGCAAGTACTGTCGTGGTGGGACGTCTGCAGACGTAGCACGGTCGCGACGTGCCCACTTTCTGCAATTAGTCTCTATTCCGGACTTGCCGGCTCACTCGCTCGTAGTAGACGTTCTGGAGTGGCATATAGATGAATGGCGCAAGCAGCGAGGACGAGTGGGACGATCGAGACGAGGGAAAGGCGGCAGATGTTTATGCTGGAGGACGACGCCGGACGGAAGCAAGATATGTGGAGGTCAACAAATGGCCATGTCGAATTGCCACCTCACTCATTCGAGCTTTCGATCCTACAAGTCCTGCTCTCGAACCATACTCACGCAGAGCTCGACATCCAGAGCTTGCATCTGAGACAATTCGCATCACATCTTCGCGTTCCCCCTCTCCACTTCCCCATCTTCACCGGCCCTCCCTGCGCGTCGACGACTGCACCTTCACCAAACTATGCCGCGCGGGACAAAGGCGCCGGCGCCGCGGCTGAAGCTAGTCATCCGCCGCCTGCCCCCCACACTACCGGAGGAGACATTTTGGCGTGTCGTCGAGCCATTCGTAGAGGGCAAAAGCTTGTGGCGACGCTATGTCAAGGGACGCGCCGGCGACGCGTGAGTGTCGACCTTCCCTGGCCAGCACCATTCAAGTTGACAGCAGATTCGGTGTACACCCGCAGCATTCGCGCGCATACGTGCTCATGAACGACACTGAGTCGCTCATCGCATTTCACGCCGGCTTTGACGGCCATATCTTCCGCAACAAAGCTGGTAGGTTGGCAAGCGGTCCAGCGGCTGATAACAGGCGTAGAGTACCAGGCCGTGATCGAGTACGCCCCGATCGAGAAGACGCCGTACAAGGCCAAGGTCAAGAAGGATGCGCGCGAGGGCACTATTGACGACGGTGAGCGATGATGTTTTCGAGCCGAGCTGAAAGCAGATCCCGACTACCTCGCCTTCCTCGAGAATAGGGGCGCTGTCGAGGCCAAGGCAAGTCCGGAGATAACTGGTGAGTTTGGTAACTGCTACCGGAACTGAACCCAGCTGCGTCCCAGCCGACATCCACGCCCCTGCTTGAGGCACTACGTGCGGCGGCGAACAAGAGTAGAGCCAAAGCGGCGAAGAAGAAGGAGAAGGCGGCATCGAAGAAGGACGAGAAAGACAGCAAGGCGGACGCGAAGAGCGACAAGGCGCGCGCGGCTGCCCTCGCCTCAATTTCAGAGGCGGCGACCAAGCGCGCACCGAAGACCGCCGGCAGCGGTGGCGTCGTTATGGTCGCAGGCAAGGGGCGCGAGGTGTTTGTCGCGCCTGCGGAGGTGGTGCAGGAAGGAGATTCGCGCGACAGCAAGAAGAGCGATAAGGCGGGCGAGAAGAAGAAAAGGAAACCGCGGAAGAAGAAAGAGGCTGGGGAGGACGGTGGCGAACACGCCGGGACCATAGCCGCCGGGGCGGGGAAGAGCGCAAGTGCGAGCGCCTCGGCGCCGCCTGCTCCGAAGAAGGACGCACGCATCGACGGCGGGCTGGCTGTCGTCGACGAGTCGAGCACAGAAGCCGGTAAGCGCAGGAATCGGCGTAAACGTGCGCCTGGTACGGGTAGGGGAGGGGGTGGTGCGGGCGGAGGAGAAGGAAGGCCTGTTACGGAAGGCAGCGTGGTGGAGGAGAACTCCGGGCAATCGCGTAGCCAGAAACCGCGAGCTGCACGCGAGCAGGGCGCCGCGACGTCGAGAGATGGGAGCGCAGTGTCAGCCCCGCGGGGCCGCGGTCGCGGTGGTCTACTTCCCAGCGAGGCGCGCATTGACATGTAATATATGCATTACATCTCCGATGTGATGGTGATTTCTAGATTCACTCTCTCCTTTACATGTGCGCGAGAGTCCGCGGAGGCGGTCGCACCACGGCCTCGACCGCACGCAGCGTCTCCCACCGCCAGTCGTGGCGCCAGCTCGTCCCCGCCTCATCCATAGCAAGCACCTGATCTTCTGGATGCTGGACAAAGCCGCTCCCGTCCCCGTTCAGAGCGGGCTGCACTGCTGCGCGGACGGCCGCGTGCCACTCCAACGCTAACCGCGCCTCGTCTTCGCTCATGGCGGACAACCTCAAGTGCTGGATCGGCATATCGCTGCCGTGCGTGACGTTCCCTCCTGTGCTGAGCGCCGCGACAACCATCTCAATGGTGTACCTAACGACGGGGAGGCCCGCGGCAGCCAAGTCGCGCGCCAGCAGGCGCACTGGAAGGTGCACCTGCCCGTCGGCGAGGACGCGCCCGAGGCGCGCCTGGCATGCCGCCTCAGACGTATCGTCCAGCGAGGGGTAAGCCGCGAGGAGTGCGGCGGCCGTCGGAAGGGGGTAGTAGCGCGCGACGTTGGGCAGGAGATCGGCGGGCGTAGCGCACGGGTGGCACTGAGCGTAGAAGAAGGCTTCGTCCCTGACGTCGCCGAGCACGACGGCGCGCACGCCCGCGGCGGCGAGGCCGCGCGCGAGTGCCCCCGACGCTTGAAACGCCATCTGGTCGCGGCCGTGCAGCGCGTCCGCGACGCCGCGGAACGTGCTGTTCACCCCCATGCCTTCGACGGCGGCGATGAGCGCGGCGCTGGGGAAGCGCGCGCGGTCGCGCAGCGCGTCTACGGCCCGCGTTTCGTCGGCGCTGTCGACGCCGAGCGCGGCGCACAGGTGCGCGAACTGTGCCGCGCGCTCGTGCCGGCTCAGCGGGTCCGTGAGGATCGCGTTGCTCTGCAGCGTCGCGGTGACGAAGGGGGCACGCCCACCGCGCGCCGCGCGGTGCAGCAGCTGGTGCACGATGTGTGCGCCGCCGCTGAGGCCGGAGAGATGCACCTGCGCCGGGTCGCCGCCAAAAGCAGAGATGTTCGCTTGCACCCACTCGAGGCCGGCCCAGACGTCCATGAAGCCCCAGTTGCCCTGCAGCTCGGGCGCGGCCAGGAACCCGAGGGCCGAGATGCTGGTGTCAGTGACATTCAATCGAATCTCTTCGGTGTCTTGCAGGATACCGATCGGATGTCTGTGGAGCGGACGCCCGACCCGCTGGCCGCTGACCGCCAGAAGGCCCTTCACGAGCCGAGCGTGCGTGCAGAACTCACCGGTGGCCAAGCAGCACGCGCACCTCGCCGAAATGTTCAGCGGCAAAGAACTGCTGGTTGTACGTCGCCCCGCTCGTGCTCCCGAATTGAAGAAACCCGCCGTGCACGAACACGCGGACGGGGCGCAGCCCGCCCTTGGGCCTCCTCTGCCCTCCTGACGCTGGGGAGCCGGCGTCCTCAAACGCAACGTCCGACGGGGTGTAGATGTCCGCGAAGAACGGATCTTCCGTAGGCTTGCCGAGCCCGAGGCGCTGCCGCGCAGGAACTGGGTCAGTGCTCGCGTGGGCAGGGCGTACTGTGTGCTGTGTAGGCGCGGCTTGGCTGGGCGCAGTACAGCCCGTCGGAAGTGTACTCCTTGTCGGGGTAGCGATAGGACTCGGGGAGAGGCGCCGGGGGTGTCCATCGCGGAACGGGGAGGGCGTAGGGTACGTCTGTGTGAGTGCGGAGCGGGTGGGGACGTACTGAGGAACACTTGGACGCCGTTCCGCACACGTCCGCCGACGACGGGGCCGTGTCGCGTATATGCACGGACGCGGGACGAGGTGGGGAGCGCGAGCTGCTCGCCTGTCATGTCGTCCATCGCGATGGGAGAGCGAGGCATGGCCGGGCAGTGGGGGAGGAGGGAACGGCAAGAGACGCGGAAAAGATGGCAGAGAGATGAGCGGAAGTGGCAAGATGCAGGCGAGCTGAGGCTGGCGGAACAGCACAAGCAGCAAGACACCGAGGTCACCGATCGCATGTCACATGACACGGGGCGGAGGGTCCTGACCGCCCCGCTGAGAAGTGTAATCAGAGCCACGTACAATCGTGGAGGCGTGATGCATGACGAGAACCTTTGGCGTAATCAGATGTCTGTGGCTGATGGCAGCCGCAGTCTGGAGTCTGGGCAGAGTTTGCTTCCATGGCCTAATACTGCATGCCATCTGCGGATCTTCGATAGCTTGTTATCGGAGCTCGAGCGCGATGGCTACGTCGGGTTCATTCACTCTAAGCGCTCCACAGCGTACTCACCGCACCAGTCGTGTAGGTGCCAATCGCGGCATTGATTCGCCGAGACTGAGCGCGTCTCACTGTGCCAATAGGCGTCCAGATGCTACAACTCAGAATCTTCAACCTCCCTCCGCTCAACCTCGTGCATGGCATGGGCATCACGGCATACGAGGGATGCGTTATCAGGCCAAGATCACAACCATACGACAGCAGCGCACCTGAGTCCATGTGCATCTCCCAGAGAAAGCGAAGAAGCAACGGCGGTGACTAACCCGCCGTCCCGCAACCCCCCAGTATTTCCGCTATCCCGAGGGTGTTTTCGTCACCGCTTGCTGCCCGCCCAATTGCCCACTCTTCCAATCACCCCTGACATGAACAATGCATCCCCTCGCCTTGCAAGTTAAAGCCGCGATGCAGCGGGCACGGCGCGGAGATGCCCGACGACAATGTCCGCGGCCTTCTGCGCGAGCCCCACGCTGGACTGGTATCCCGTCCCGCCGGGCCCGTAGGCATGCACGACTGCGACGTTGCGCGCGCCCGTCGCGCGCGACTTGGGGGCGAGGGCTGCACCCGCGCCGCCGACGGTCCGCTTCTCGAGCTCGAGGCGCACCCCGCCTTCGCGTGCGGGGCGCAGGCCGACGTTGTGCGCGACGACCTCGATGTCGCGCCACGTCTTGCCCGGCCCCGGGCCGGCGAGGAGGGGGTCGAGCGCGAAACAGGCCTGCAAAATGCGCTCGGCCTCGCGCAGCGACGGCAGCGTGCTGTAGTTGTTCTTGTTGAAGGTGCCGCCGCACACGACGTGTCCTTCCGGTCCGGGGCGCGGGATGATGTACGCGATCGCGTCGGCGGACGCCTTGTCCGCGCCTGCTGTCAGGTTTGGTTGCCCGAGCGTGGCTTCGGCGTCCGCGACCGCGAGGCAGAGCGCGCGGACAGCCGACGCCGACTCACTCGCCGGGCCCGCTTTGTCAACCGTCCCGGTCGCCATCGTGCATGTGTTCACCAGCGGCGCTTTGACGAGCACCGTTTGGCCCTGCGCGGGATACATTTTGTCGTCTTCCACACCGAGGAGCGACTTGTTGCCGAGCGCGAGCGCGTTGACCACCAGGTCGACGCTGCCCGTCTCGGGCAGGTCGTAGGCCTCGTCGAGCGACGCGAGGCGGCGGCGGATGAGCGGCACGCCGCGCGCGCGCAGACCAGCAGCCAAGTGCTTCAGGTAGTTTGGCGCGTGCAAGATGTAGGACTCGTACTTGACGCCGTGGGGGAAGCCGCCCGGTAGCGGCTTCGAAGGCGTGGCGTCTACATCCTCGAGCTGGGGTCAGCGGGGTCGCCGAAAACGACAGTCTGGAGTGGCTCCTGGTGGAGAACTTCGGCCCTCTGCGACTTGCATCCCAACATCGCACACGTACATTAAACACCAGCCCCTTGTACCACGGCGTCGCCTTCTTCGCGTTCCACAGGTCCCAGAAGGGAATGCGGCGGCAGAGGTTGGGGTGCTCCTGCGCCAGGCGGCCGAGAAACTTGAAGGTGATGGCGTCCCACTCGGCCGCGGGAGTGTCGCCGCGCTCCTCAAACGTGCACCAGTTACAGCCGGCCCATGGGCTAGCGAAGCCCGTGCTATACTCGTCTTCGGGGAGGTCGCGCGCGACGACGGCGACCTTGAGGCCGCGGTTCGACAGCTCAGTCGCAATGGTCAGGCCGTACACTGTCTCAGCGGGGCACCATGCATACATGTGCAAGAGCAAGATCGGGCGTCCCGACGCCGCGCGGGGAAATATGCAGACGTACCTCCGGCGCCGAGGACGAGGGCGTCATACATAGTGACAAGTGGGGATGGGGGAGGTTGTGACGAAAGGTAAAGTCGTGGATCGTGGAGTCGGCTCGGGAGGGTTATAATGGGACAGCGAGGAGTTGCCCGACTGGCCGCTGGCAGGCTCAAGATGATGCGGAATGCTCCTGCGGCTCGGCGCTTGCCATGCTCTCCAGCCGCCGACTATCCGCGTAACAGCGCCGCGTCGTAGATACTGCAGAAGGGATCATGTACCTGGCTCTACCCAACTCACTGACCCAGGGCAAGCGCACGCTACCGCCTCCCGACCCGACAATGCATCGCTGACGTTCTGAAGAAAATGAGGCTCAACTGTGAGTGGACAGAGTGAGCGAGTGGGAGGGAGCAGGGGGTCGGATGGACGCCGAAGCCGAGCGTCAAGTGACCTGGTGACCGACCGCCGACCGACAACAACCGATCAGACACAAGGTCACCGACCCGACATCCGATGCTTCTCTCGAAGAGTGAGTCGTCGCTTCAAACATGTCAGCTACCAGTCCTGATTTCTGTAAAACACGAGGTGGGGGAGACGTGACTCTTTTCCTGCATCGTGCAGACCGAGCATGCACGGGCCGGGAACCACCGGCATCCAAGTCGACATTTCCCGGCAACGTTTGGTTTTGGTAAGGATATAAAATGGGGGTGGGACATAAAGTTTGTTGGGAAATGTCGGCTCGGGTATTCAGCTGTGAGATCTTTGCGGGCTCCTCGGTGGTTCACTGGTCCTTGTGCTCTGTTGGCCAACCCTCAACGCCAGCACGGCTGCGTAGCTCGCGTCGTACATGCAATCCCTCAAGGCCTTTAGGACCTTGGTCGCGCGTCAGCGCCGCCCGGCCTTTCTGGCTGTAGCAGCGTGGTGTACAGAGTCAGAGTCAGGGCTTGCGAAACGTTCGCCGAGGCTTGGCGGGGACCACCACTTTTTTTTTTGTCGCCGACCTCCTGCCCGCCCTGTAACCTCTGTGTCCTCTCGGCCCCGCCGTCCCGCCCCTGGTGCGGTTGACACGGCGATTTGCTGAACGCTGAACAGGTCGGTCGTGAAAGCCCGACAGCTGAGAGGCGGCTGAGACCGATCGAGGCGACGCAAAGTCGCGAGGATGCGTTGCACTATCCATGACTCGCCAAAAGAGCCATGATGATGGAATAGCTCGGGATGGGATGGGATGACCGCATGGAGATGGGGTGGGAGTGGGTGGCGAGGTGCGGAAGAGAGAGAGGAGAGCAGGAGGGAGAGAGACGAGAAGGGCCGGGCTGTGTTTGGGTGGGCGATCGGGTTTAGGGGCATGGCGGGAAAATGCACCTCTCGGTCATCGGCATCCGGCAACCACTCGCAGGCTGCACATTTCGTTCAACTTGATTGATCATGGATGCATGCATGTCCAGACAGAGACACACAATTCAACGCCAGTAGTGGGTTGAATGCGACAGACAGAGATGGCTGTCCAACCTCGATGGTAGTGCAATGTTTGTGCTGGCGCTAGTGCATTCAATACAGACCGAGTCAAAGCTTTGCTCGACCTCGGCTTCCTTTGGCCGCCCCGCTTTCCGCGCCTCGCCCAATTCAATTCATCCCTCGCCGTATCAATCTATCCACTCCCCTCACTTCTCTTTCATCTCTCACTCACTCTCTCAACTACTCTCTCCTCTCATCTCCTCTCCATTTCCATCTCCATCTCGTATCCATCTACACTCCATCCGCAACAACATTACCCCTCTCCAACATCATGGACCACCACGGTCACATGGCGATCCACACCGCCCCGACCTCCCCAGACTCAAAGGCAAATTCGCCGTCTGGGGGTGACTTCAAGCCAAAGCTTCGCGTCGTCGAGCGCGGAAGTCAAGCATGCAACGAGTGTCGTCGCCACAAGGTATGTCTACTCCATACCTCCCGCCTACTTCCTGCTCGAAAAGTATCTGCACACCAATATCGTGGATGGCCAGCGTCCACACCTGCGCCGCCTTCCGCCTCTCCCCTCCACACCACTCCCGCTCTGACGGAGCTTGTTGCCGCGCATGCCCCGCCCCGCCCCGCCCCGCCGCTCTCTCATTCCGCTCACTTGTCAGATCCGCTGCCATCCTGCTCCCGACGACCCCGATCATCACAAGGCTTGTGTCCGCTGCGTTCGCATGCAGCTCGACTGCGTCTTCAAAAAGCATAATCGCGGTCGCAAGCGCAAGAATCCGTGAGTCTTCAATTTGGGTTTGGCCACCCACTCTCTCACCGCGGTCTCCTTGACCACCTGACCATGCATCATTCCAAACTGACTCTCAGCCCCCCTACAGATAGTCAATCCGAGTCGCCAGCAGCCAAGCAGGCGGCGCATCATGAACCTCGCTCCAGCCATGCACACGCCTCGACATCCACCTACTACAACAGGGTTGGCTCTCCCGAACGCACCCTCCTGTCCGGTGTCAGCCGGTTCTCCTTTATGGCTGGTGACCAGCATCCAGACATGGGCGGCCCTGGCCCTTCGCGACTGCCACAGCCTGTACCGCCCAACTCTTCGCTGCGCAGCATGGTCATGGCGGATGGGTGGGACGGCGAGGACGAGGACGATGGGTATTCTGAAACCAGCGTAGTCCGGCTCCCGCCTCGTCCGGAGCCTCCTCGCAACCGCGAGTACGTCGAGCGCTCTCCTCGGTTTGAGATGCGCGATCTGAAAGCGCCTGGTAGTAGTGGTGGTGGTGGTGGGGGTGGGGGTGGGGGCGGTGGGTTACAGAGTGCAGCCAACGGTAGTCGTGGAGCGGAAGAGCCTGTCGCGACTGGCCTTATCACTCTGGAGGAGGGCAGAACATTCTTTGACATGTAAGTGCGGCATTTCCACGTTCGTCTTCGTGTCGTTGACCATCAGCTTCGTCAAGCACTTCAATAGAGCGATGGCGATCATCGACCCTGTGATACATTCACATGGTGAGGTGCCCTGTCACTACTCGCGCTGACATTTAGACTACGTGCGCCAACAGTCTCCTTTCCTGTACACCGTCATAAGTGAGTCGTTACGCACCCCTTTCGCTGACGCCAGTGTGCATCGGCTCGCGTTACCTGGATCAAGTTGGACGAGAGCCGGAGGCCATCGCGCATAATGAAGTCCACCAGCAGATTGTCGTCATGGCCAATAACCAGCTCTTGTGGGCATTCGCCGACGCTTCTTGCAGAGTGGACATTGTTCAAGCAATCGTTGCCATGACCTTGTGGAAGGAGCCTGAGGATGACAAGGCGACATTCTATTTCAATCGCGTGAGTTGTCACTGCCGAGATGGAGGCTGACGTGCCTAGGCGGTAGTTCTCGCGCAGGAATTGAGACTCGGTGAAATTCCGCCCCCTCAGATACTTGAGCGGATGCCCGAGCCGGAACGTCGGGAACTTCGTCATCGGCAACGTCTTTGGTAAGAGCGACGCCGATCCTCTGCGGCTGTGGCTGACGTACAGGATGACGTTGTTCTCGACCAGCTCCATTTTCCATATGCAGTTCCGCCAACCAATGCTGATTCCGACAACGGATCCGCTGATTACTATCAATCAATTCTGGCTAAAGCAAGCGTTCCCTGAGAACATCATGGCAGACACATGGGTTGTCTTCAGCGTCGACCTTCGCAGGCGCTATCTACAGTACCGCGAGCGGCTGAACGACCCAGTGCCAAACCCCCTCGTTTTGTCAGCTATCACCAAAACGCTGAACGAGGAGTGGTCCACCATGCTCGAGGCTTGGATCAACGAGATTCTCCAGGGTGAGTCGACACTCGATTATGCTCATGCTGACTGCAGTCGGCGGCTACCCTTCAATTGTCAACAAACCCCGTGTGTGGTACGCGTCGCTGGCTCTCAATCTCAATATGACGATTCTCACCCAAACGCTCCGCATTCCTCCCAGCGAGCGTGTCCCTCCGCCTCCGCCTGGGCCCCGTCGACTCCAGCTGAGGAGCATCCCAGCCTTCCATTACTGTCTGGCTGCTGCGACGACAGTCCTTCTTCGCTTCAACGACCTTGACAAGGACCAACTCACTTACGGCTCCGACACGCTTCTCCACTTTGCGCTGTACGCATCCACGTTCCTGTGGACACTGTGCCGCAACCCGGAGCTGTACGATTTCGATCAGGGGGAGATCGAACACACGCGTGGAATCATTAATAGTGTTGCGGACGGCCTGGACAGTGCAAGCGCCTACCCCGGCTCTTCGCCTGCTTTGCATGCCCGCTACCTGCGCCGCCTCGTGCGCACGAACTACGTCCAGGGATCCTACGAGGAGGCCGGTGGTGAAGCGGCCAGTGCTACCGACCGTGAGGGTCTGATGGCGCCAGCCGTCGGGTTTGAGAACCAATACGTTGGGCCGATTCCTGCCCCTGGCCAGACGCCCGCCACCGCCATGGGTGAAGTCGATTTCCTTCTCGGTGACTTCCCTTGGCACGCACAGTGGGCTGGCCCAGGCAGCGCGCCGCAGGTTGACCCGGCGCTCTATGGGCAGGGAGGCGGCCCTCCGATGACGGTGCAGCAGGAAGGCTCGGGATACGCGAATGGTGCGCGTCGGCCATCGCCAACTCTGCCCATGCACAGTGCTCACGCGTAGAGCATGCGACGTCGTAACCGATGCAGGCGGTGCGCGCTCCTTCCATGGGCAATTGGGGTGCTGCCTCCTTCGTAGACCAGACGTTGACAGAGATGTAGTAGTGTCTACCAATGCATTGCAATGCACTGGGTTGCCGATGAGGGGCCGTGAATACCGAGCTGTCGACTATTGAGGTGGGGAGGACATGTGACGAGTTGCGAGATCCGAATGCAACCCGATCGGGCCGGACCTCATGCCAGTGAGCGACCGAACGTGGGTAGCTCGCCTCCGCACGGCCCCCTGCAGCGCAGGCGATCAGGCAACCACCGCATCCCGCAGCGCTCAAGTGCGGAGACGAGATACGCCGCGTGCAGCACAGATCGCCGAGTGGGCAGCGCGCGTGCAATCCTCGGGCAATTTGCGGGCAAGCGCTGCCCGCACGACCACTCGCTTCGCCTCCCGAACTCGCTTGAAGGCCGATGTTGACTGCGTCGGTCTGCGCTGGCCTTCCTGCTAGCCTCCAGACTGGGCTTATAAAGAGGTGCCCACCGCTGTTTCCCCACATCAACAGCCATGTCGAAGGTATACAAAGACAAGCTTGCGTCGCTGCCGAAAGAGTCGTTCCTCGTGAGTGATTTTCTCTGACGTCTACCATTTCCCGACCTCGCACCACCCCGCTGATACCAGTTCGGGCCCTCGCCCGTCCAGTTCCTCCCGAAGATGACGGCGGCACTCGGCGGCAAAGTGAAGATCTACGCCAAGCGCGAGGACTGCAACTCTGGCCTTGCTTACGGCGGCAACAAGGTCCGGAAGGTATGCCTCCCTCCCTGCCAAACTCACACCAGCTCGAATACCTCGTCGCGGACGCGCGCGCGCAAGGGTGCGACACCCTCGTCTCCGTTGGCGGCGTGCAGAGCAACCACACGCGCGCGGTGACGGCCGTCGCGGCGGCGAGCGGTATGCGCGCCGTCACGGTGCAGGAGAAGTGGGTGCCGATCGATCCGCCGCTGTATGCCGAGGTGGGCAACATCCTCTTATCGCGGATTATGGGCGGCGACGTGCGCCTCAACGACGAGGACTTTGGGATCGAGCATAAGCAGGCGACAAAGCAGGCGTTTGCGGACATTGAAGCGCGGGGCGGCAAGCCCTAGTGAGTACAGTACCGCCCTCCAGAGCGGTTGGATACAAGGTTGACGCTGACCCCAGCTACATCCCCGCGGGTGCGTCCGACCACCCTCTCGGGGGAATGGGGTTCACGAACCTCGTCGTCGAGCTGGCGGAGCAGGAGAAGGCCCTCGGCGTGTTCTTCGACACCCTCGTCGTGTGCTCCGTGACGGGCAGTTCGCACGCGGGGCTGATCGTCGGCGCCGTGGCCGAGGGCAAAGGGCGGCGCATAATTGGCATCGACGCGAGCGGGAAGCCGGCGCAAACCAAAGCGCAAGTAGCGCGCATCGCGCGCGCGACTGCCGCCGCGCTCGATCCCGCCCTAGAGATACCCGACGACGCGGTCGTGCTCGACGAGCGCTTCCATGCCGGCATATACGGGATTCCGGACGAGACGACGCTCGACGCCATCAAGTGTGAGTTGACACGCAGGGGGGGCTGACCCCAGTCGCGGCGCAGACGGACGCTATGATCACCGATCCGGTGTACGAGGGCAAGAGCATGGCAGGCATGATGGCGCTAGTCAGGGAGGGCGCGATCGCAGAGGGAAGCAATGTGCTTTACGTCCACCTGGGCGGGCAGCCGGCGCTCAATGCGTACAGCTCGTACTTTCCACACAAGTAGACAGATGTGATGACATGTATGGGACGTGGCGTGGGTGGGACGTGTGTGGGCTAAACGCGCCGTAAACAACACAGTTTTGTGGGCACTTTTGCCACTAACCATGACAGCTAAAAGTATTGATATTGTTGACATCTCGGGTTTGTTTACACACTCCTCCTCCCACGCTCCTGCAACTATGCCCGGCAAAGGTCTCTTCGCGAGCATCCCGCGCGTCCTCTGCCTCACAGTCGTGTCGGTGGCATTCACCGCCCTTGCTCATCGCACGGCCATCCTCTCGGTCGTGAAGGGGATGTTTGCGTCTGCAAACGCAGCCAAGCCACATGATCCCACCTTGCCCGCTCCCCCAACCATCATAATCTCGCCACCCTCGCCCGGCGACGCCCATTCGCCTCCATCGTCGCCGCTCGGCACCCGCCCCAAGCGCACCTCCCGTCGCCCGCCACAGCCCGAGCTCCTCGCGTCTCCCATTATGCGCAAACGCGCCCGCCCGCGCGGTTTGCCCAAACAGCGCCGTGACAAAAGCAAGTGGCGTCCCCCCCTCGCTCCCATTACCGAGGCCGACGGCACAATCGCATGTGCGGCCACGTCGGGCACGAGCACCCACGCGTGCAGGAGCACGGGAGCGGCTGCGCATGACAATAAGGAGAATGAGAGGGTACAGCAGCGCCCCACGATGCCTGCCATGCTCCGCCAGGCCGCGCGAGCGCGCGCCTTGCGCCCCAAGCTCGTGTATCGCGACCTCAACCCTTCCTCCTCTTCTGTGCGAAAGGAGCGGTTTGTCGCTTCGAGAGCAATCACCGCCCTCTAAATGCCCGGCAAGGCAAGCTTCTCGTAACAAACAACCACACCCCTCCCTCCACCAGCTGCAGCCGCAGCCGAGACCAGCTGATTAGCTGTGTGTAAGTGTTGCCCACAGTAGACGTCAGCACCATGCTGCTGGCATCAGTAGAACATTAGCAAGTGTGCAAGATGCGTAAATATACAGTGATACAGTACAACGACTACCTCGTGGCCCAGCGCATCGTAGCCTCCCACACCGCGAGCGCGGCGGCGTTCGTCGGGAACGCGCGCAGCACGACGGGCACGAACCCCCTGTAGAAGTTGCGCACGCGCGCGACGCTGTTCGCTCCGAGCCCCTTGGCGGGGTCGAACGTCTCCCGCCATGTCTGGCGGTACGCGTCGAACACGCCCTTGTAGCGCGGCGCGGTGGGCGAGTCGCACATGATGCGGTTCTTCACATTGTCCATTGCTGCCGTCAGACCGTTGGTGCGCGCACTCACGCAATGCCGAGAACCAGTAGAGGTTGCTCGCCATGCCGCCCGCGAAGAAGTTGGCCGCGCCAGGCGACATCTCCCACGACGTCCCCTTCCAGCTGTTGAAGAAGCGGTTGAAGATCTCGAAGCCTGATGTCAGCGCTTCCGCTTGTGCTCTCCGCCACTGTACTGACCTCCAAACATGGCCGCGAAGCACGAACGGTACATGAAACTCGCGCCGAGGCCGCGCCACATGCCCAGCGGGCCCTGTGCCGCACATGTTTGCCGCACGACATCAATCGGGCCAGAATACTGCCGCGGCACATGCTCAGGCTGCACGAGCTGCAGCTGGAGCTTGCACTTGATCGTTTCGGTGGGGTGTGCAATCGATGCGCTGGGGTTAGCGGTGTGGAGCGGAGCTCGCAGCGGCGCCGATCGGGGGCGGCCTCCATCTCATGCCATCTTGGTCGCGCACTCACTTCGTCCATCCCGCGAACAGGCCTGCAATACTATGCCCGAGGAGGGTGAGCCGCCGCCCCTCGCCGTCGGGTGTGGGCTCGCTCAGCCCCGCGTCCTTCAGGTATGCGCGATAGTTGTGCAGCGAGCCCATGAGGATCGAGTCGGTGATACCCCAGCTGATGGCGGGGACAGATGCGCCCTTGTACACTGCCCGCGGGCCCTCTTTCGTCACTGTCTTGACGAGGCAGTCCCATGCGCCGTTGAAAGTTCCCGGCGGGGCGCATTGTAATCGGGTCTGGGGTGAGCGGTGAGCGGCGGGGCCTCGCGGCTCGGGAAGAAGAATGAGAACGGAGGCGTAGAGCAGTACGGGAGGGTGGAGGGAGACGAAGAAGAGCACGGAAGCACCTACCTTGATCGTGTCGAATGGATGCCCCACTATCAACTTGGTCCAGCCCGAGAGGATGCCGGCTGCGAAGCCGACGAACGGCGAGTGCTGCTTCGGTGCTGGCGCGACGCTCTCGCCCATGTCGTCCAGTACGGCTTCTGGAACGACGTCGCGGCTCATCGTGCTGTCGTGGGCGTGGAGATGAACAAGGTGGATGGAGAGCGTCACTCTCAGAAACCGTGGTACATTGCGGATCGCGAAATGGGCAGCCGGCCCGGGCCGCTCGCCCGTCGGTTACGCGTCTCGGCCGGGTTATCGACTTTCGCGGGCCTCCAGTGACTCCTGAAACGCAGAGGAGCGGAGCGGGTGAGATGGGCGACTCAGAGTAGAGCGGTGGAGTGAGACGGACGGTGATGAGTGGAGGTGCGATGCGGAAGAGGTCGGTGGCTGAGATCAGCTGATATCGGCGTGATCGCCATCACCAGAGATGTCACTGCCGCACCCCCACCCCCGCACCGGCAACCACGGCCCACCCCATTTCATGTCACAACCATGTTCTTGTTTCATGGCATAATACGAGATGAATGCACGAAACGATCTATCAACTATAGTGGGTGTGTCAAGAAACACAAAGTAGAAAAACTATAGGCACTGTGATAAGGCAGAGATTTTCAACCAGAAGCAGGGCATGCGGCGGCAGCGCCGGACAGCGTGTGTTTTGACCAGATGCTGCAAGTCGCGATGCTGGCAGGAAACTGTATCGTAGATGCGATGGCGTAGATCGCGAGCGAGTGTGGAAAACCAACAGCGTGTATTTGAAGCAGGAGTAGTTCGTGAATGTCCTGGGAAACTATAGTGCGTGTACCAAGCGTGAAGCCGGCGGCGAAAGGGGTGGTTGTTTGAGCGCCGCCTCGGCATGTATGAGCGGGCTCAAACTACTCGTCGTGTATGTGCGAGATGACTGGTAGATTATTGGGGTGGACAGCGGCGATGGTGAGGCCGTTGGAGTCGTGTTGGGACTTGTTGAAGGAGTGTTGGTCGGCGAGGGCGTGGAAGTGGACGGACTGTGCCTGTTGCGGTGGCGGAGCGCCGAGCGGCGGTGAAGTAGCGGCGACTGACCTTGAAGATTGCGACAGATGCGCAGTGGCGGAGTATGGAACGCATAGTCTGTCACAGTTGGTGTAGCGTCAAACTCGAGTGAATCCTCGTCGCTCTCGCTGATGGGCGGGCTGCTGGAACCTGGACAGAGGCCATAGGTGCGTATTGTGGCTGGGTGCATGGCGGGGGAACCGACCTCCAGCTCGATGCCGGCGTGCTCCCTTGGAGGCACAACAATGCTGAGAGGCTTCGAGCTGACAGATGGCCGGTGCTGATGCGACAGCCGGTTGCGAGGAGTAGACACCTTGTACGTCGATGGGCTTCGACCCAGTGGCCGAGTAGGCGACGAGATTGTGTACAGCACGCGGTCGACAGCGCAAACAAGGTCAGGGCGGGAGAGCTGAAAGTCAGTCGTATTCCGATACCGGAGACATACCTCCTGCCCCACCTGCTCAAGCAGCCACGCCAGCCGCGCGCGCGCTTCCGCGTCAAACATCTCACCCATGGCCTCGAGCCGCTGCTCTTCATTCTTGACAGCTTTGAGCAGAGCTCGCTCGACAGCATCAGTCCCGCTGTCCGAACCCGGTTGGAACAATGCGAGGATGGCGCCGAGAGCAGTGATATCCTGAGGGGCTTCCTTGGGGGAGGTGGGAGGCGAAACGCGCTCGCCGTCGACGATCACGCACTGGCGGAACTTTTGCCTGCGAGAGCGGTCTCCGTCATCAACGGAAGGGCGCCGAGGCGACAGCCCGTCGAAAGCGGGGCTGTCTGGTTGCGCCGGCCGGGGCGGGAAAGTGTACCCCTTGACCAAGGTAGACGAGCGCTCCAGCCGGGCGTGTCCGCTGTCGCTCACACTTCGGTGCTCAACCTCCATCCGTTGTGCCTCGAGTTCGAACGCGGGGAGAAGTCGGAAGTCTTTCGTGGAGCGAGGACGCCGCTTTCTGTTGGGCATGCGTGTGTAGGAGTCGTTGACGTTCGGCATTGACTTGGCGTGCCGTGGATAAGAGAGTGGCGGCAGAAGGGCAGGGAAGTCTGCATCGTCGATCGCTTCGACAACGGTCCGGTCCGGGATACGATAGGACGTGGCCTTGGCCGACTTGGGGACCTCACGCCTAGCTTCGTGGATGGAGAAGGCGCTCACCGAGATGCTGTCACTCAACGAAGTCACTGTAGCAGTCGAATCCGAGGTGAGCACGCTGCTGAGGGTCGAGATTGATGACCCGGTGGTATACAGCTCAACAAGAGGCATGCTTTGAGAAGACGACTTTGAAAGCGGCGACAGACCAGGTGTCGACTTCCCACTGTACATGTCGATGATCGGGGAGGTGCTCGAGACGGACCTGCAAGGGGAGGTGCCAGGCGTGGACTTGCCGTCCTCTCCAAGGGGGTTGATGTCGTCGAGGTATTGCTCAAGGTCAAAGGACACATCGCGCTGATGGAGCTCCATGCTGGCCGGAGGAGACGGTGTACGAGCCACAGGGATGACCACGACGGATAGGCCGAAAGCGTAGCGCAGTTGGGCGATGACTTCGGGGTCGGCCTCTCCAGTCGCCTCGACGCTGATGAGGAAGTCAGCGGCCTTGTCGCGCCCAGTACCGAGGTACCAGCTATCGGCATCGGGACCCAGACGGTATCGTAGAGGAAGGAGCTGATCGACGAGGGCAATACGGTCATGGTCCCAGCCGCAGAGACCGAGCGAGTTGATGTCGGCGGACGAAGACGGAGAGAGAGGGGAAGACTGGCGCGTGGGGAAGTGTGGCAGTGAAGCGATTGAGAATACGGTCGTCTCGAAAGCTCCTGGGGTAGAGCAAGGTGACGATGTGTCGCTCGTAGGCGTACCAAAGCGCGAAGTCGTCTCGGCATTGTGTGACCGAGGTGGGGTCGAGGGGAGGAGCAAGGCCGGTAACGAGGGGCGGCGCTCGATCTCAAACGGGGGAAGTTTGAGGATCGGGGTAGGGCGCGGAGAGAGCCATTGAGGGATAGGCAACGTGCGTCGTTTGGCTGAGCGAAGGGATAAACGAGACAGCGTCCGAGCACGGGTGCGACCATCGTCCGCAGCCGTTATGTGAGAATGCGTTGGCCGGTCGTCGAGACAAAAGTGGCAGAGCACGTCTGGGAGGACATCACCGGCGGGAACTGGAAGCCGCTCCCGCATCGCCGCGAGATTGTCGGCCACCGACTGTGGGTCCAGGCCCGTGTTTAAACGACGCACCGCCCACGCGCACAGAAGTTGAGTCGCATCCGCTGTCGATCGAGTTGTCCCCTGTTGCCCCAGACGGCCGATGAGGTGCACGACGTTGACAAGGCCGAGCTGGAAGCGGAATTCGCTGAGCGCGGCTGCTACGGTGGTGGACGCGAATGGTTCGGTTTGGATCACCTGGGTTTAGAGCGATTCACAAGATTCCCTGATACTCACCTCCAGTTCCACCTCGGCGAGTTTGCGGGCGATGGATTCGATGACACCGCCCTCAGCGCGCCAGCGACGACCAACGTACTCGAGCGCCAACTCATGCACGCACGCCTCAACCACGCCAGGGGCACGATTTTCGCGGGTGAGCCGCACAAATGCCTCCACAAGCTGACGGCGGGTGAGGTGCGGGAATGCGTGTGGCGGGATGAAGCTGCTTGGGGCCGGCGGAGCAGGTGCGCCGGCAGGCAGGGCAAACGGAAACAGAAGGCGTGTCGACGAGTGAACAAGGGCGAAGCGAATGCCAGTAGAAGGTGCCTGTAGATACCATGATAGTAGGTCCGAGGTCGGAGGGGCGCAGGCGTGCGTGGCGCGTGTAAAGTTTGAGTTTGAGAACGTGAACGCAAGGAGGCGTCGAAGGGAAAGATCAAGTGTCAGTGCGCGGCTCTCGGTTCTTTCGTTCCTCGTGCGCACTCAACCCTCAAAATGATTGAGGGAGGTGAGTCATCAGGCGCATGCACTTACATTGCGGACGGCGTGGCTCGCGGCCGCGCAGTACTCGCGCACGCGAAGACCCGAGAGAAGTGAGCGCCATGCGTATTCGTCCAGGGCAGCCAGCGAGTCGCTCAGGTCGCCGCGAGAGAGGACTTGGGCAAGTGCAGCCTCGCGTGGACCTAGTGGGGGAGGAGAGGTAGGCGACATCCTGTGGGAGACGGGGTAGCAGGATGAGTTGTGAGGTGGAGTGGGAGGAAGCGGCGGGGGCGACGACGACGAGGATGAGGCAGAAAGCCGGGGCGCGTGCCGGTACCGCAGACGCCTGATGGGTATGGACGTGGCGCGGGTGAGCGAGGCCAACTTGCCGTGAGAAGAAGACGGTGGAGAAGAGAGAGGGAGGCTCGACGTGGATGTGAGGGGAGAGCGAGAAGAGATGGGGGAGAGAGGGAGAGTCGAGACCGATGCCGCCGAGGTTGAAGCCGCGTAGGAAGGGAGGGAGGTGAGGGAGGTGGAAGATGAGGAAAGAAATGGATGGAAGCGGGCGAGGGGGTATTTAGAAGGACAAGAGGATGGCCAAGAGGAATGAACAGGACGCGAGGGGGAAGGTGGCTCGCTCGTGATGTTTTCCATTCTTTGAGGTCGATCTCGTGGCGGTGATCGTCGTGATCGCGCAATTGTGAACGAAGAGCCCGAGTGTGACGCGTCAGTGGTGCGCTCAAGTAAAAGCGACAGAGCGGAGATCAACTTGGACGGTTAGAGCAGCTAGGGCAAAGCACTGAGTAGCGGGTTATATGCACGTCAAGATTGTGAGCGGTGAGGAGCAGGTAAGTGCTGGTGTGCAGAGCGTGTACAGCACCACATGTGCACATGTCATGTGCCGGTTGCTGCGCCCCCGGCGTCGCTCGCACCACTTGAGCGGCGCCTGGCACATGAGACCTCGCCGCAACCGCATGTGGTGAAGAGCTGCACACGGCAATATGGCGGCATATGGCGGCGTATTGCGGCGCGGGGTCAATGCAAGTCTTCACATCCTCGCATCCACTCTGCTCTTCTTCGGCGACGCGCTCCGCGCACGCGCACCGCTCCAGCGCGTAGTCACGCCGGGCGCAGTGATTCTTCAGGAGCTCTCTGCCACACACATTTAGATCGCGCTCAGACCTGCAGCCTTCGGCCATCATCAGCCCAGTCTTGGCCGACTCAAGCCATCAGGTGATCTTATGATGCAGGTGACGGCGCTGAAAGTCATCTGCTGTCCGTGGGCTGTGGACCAGGCATCATGGTCGACGTCGACGCTCGGATCTCGATGGCTCGGGCCCTTCTTGTGACCTGTAAGAGTTGGCGTCTCGTGTCTCACATTCCTTCTGTCATCCTCTGGCCACTGGAGGCTGTCAGCTGTCAGCGTACTCGGTCGACGTTTGCAGTAAAAATTTCAGCGTCAGCATGTCACCTGCCATCTGTCACCTGCCAGTCCGCTCGCCCTCACGGCCCCACGGCCCCACGGCCCGCTGCCTCGAGGATCAAGGATCAAGGAGGCAAAGCCCGAGGGGGCGTAAGGGCGCTAGCGGCATCTGAATATATGCCAGCAGCACGCTGCCATGGTATGTCCGAGGCGTGTGCGCGACGCGCGACGGCGGCAATTCACAGTTTGCTCTCTGGCAGCCGGAAGCTGGAAGCTGGCCAAACACTCCTCCTGCGACCCTGCCGGCCTGTCGTCAGTGCGCCTCGCTCCGCAGCATGGCTTTCGCCGCAGATACATCCTCTGATCCTCTGAATGCCAAGCACGCGAAACACAACTCGGAACATCCGCGTCATCACGGACGCAAGCTCCCAATCATCCGCGCATCCATGATCGCCTGATCGCCTGATCGCCAAAGCGAGATCGGCGGATGCGGATCGCTCCCCGGCCTCCGAGGTGATCGGTGCACTGCCCGAGCTGCCCGGTCGCAGTCGATGTTCTGTTTGACGATCATCATGGACGGCCATGGACCATGGGCCATAGTCGGCCAGTCGGGCATGTCGGACGAAATGCGCGGTGGAGATCGTGAGGCGTGGAGATCGCCCCGTCGTACCTTGCCGTATCCGCGTATACCGCCTACCCGTACCCGTAGCTGTATAGCTGATTTGTGCCAGTAGCCTGCCCCCCGAGCACATCCAGGCCTCGCGGATCTGGGCGTGAACGGACGCGTGTCATGAGCGAGGACATGTGAGAGACACGCGAGGTGCGAGTCGCGAGCAGGGGTCAGCATGAGCTGGTCAGCGAGGGCACCCATGGTTGCCATGGTCCCTGGCTGAGCCGCAGGCCACAGGCCGCAGGAACTGTCAGCGGTGTCGCGGCAGGTGCCCAGGCTGCAGGCTAGAAGGCTATGCGCGAGGTGAACCGAGTACACGAGGCATACGAAGTGCCCTACGAGTAAGGTGCGAGGGTAATGTGCACGCGCCGGCTGAGGGAACAAATGGTATGCCCCAACCGTTCCGTCGCACCCTCGTACCTCGTTTGCACCTCTGTAGGGCTAGGGCTAAAGAGCTCAAAGAACAACGACCTGCCCGGCAGACATATACGAGGCGTTGCGAGCGTGCGAGCGCGAGCGAAGCCGGAGGACGTTGGACAAGGAATCAGTCGGAGAAACAAGTCCAACGATGCGATACGGTCCATCCCATTCAGCAAGTCATCTGATCAGTTGAGACCCATTTGCCTCCGCAATCTTCCTATAGCAGTGAACGTTCCATACGGCAGCATACTATAGAACAGGACGCGCGACACAAACGCGTAGATGACCAGGAAGTCAGATCTATGATCAGGTAGAGTTGATCCGCGAGAACCATCCCTACGACGTGCTGAAAACGAGCTCAACTCGACGCAGCCGACTTGGTGGCTGCCTTGAGAGCCTGATAGTTAGCGGAGACTGAGGGCACACGCACCTGCTCGAGCGCGTCGAGGTCCTTGTCCACACGAATACGCTTCATGGGCTTGCCAAGTCTCGACTGAATCGTCTCCACGTCTCTACGAGAACGGTCGTCGTGAATGAATGTCACCGCAAGCCCTTTGCGGCCAAAACGACCCGTACGGCCTGGAGTCAGCAAAGCCAACTCTCATACCAGTCGAGCAAGGTAGGCTTACCAATACGATGGATATAAGTCTCGATGTCCGGCTCCCAGTTGCCTTCAGGCCCCATGTCGGGCACGTCATAGTTCACGACCATGTTAACCTGCTGGATGTCGATCCCGCGCGCAACAACGTTGGTGGTGATGAGCACCTTCGTCTTGCCGTCGCGGAATCCATCGAGCACCTTGTCACGCTCATCGTGCAACTTGTCGCCATGGAGGGACGCCACAGAGTGACCCTCCGAGACGAGGCGGCTGGTGATTTCGTCCGCTGAGGCCTTCCGCTTGCAGAAGACAATACTCTGTCCGATGGACATAACGTCGTAGAGCGCAGAAAGAGCGTCAAACTTGGCCGACTCGTTCTCGCACTCTAGCTTGAGCTGGGTGATGGCGTCAACAGTAATATCCTCCTTCCGCAGGTAGATCTGGTTCGCGTTTGGCGCAAAGAGCTGCGCAAACTCCTGCACTTCCTCGGGGAAAGTAGCAGAGAACAGCACGTTCTGAATCTCAGGCGGCAGCACCCTGGAGTGTCAGATGATGAGGACTATTGGTGACTCACTTTTTGATGCGGAAGGTCTGATCGCCAAGGCCCTGCAGCTGAATCATCTCGTCCGCCTCGTCAAGAACAAAGACACGAATCATTTTTGGGTCGAAGACGCGTGAGCCAAGCATGTCGACGAGCGTGCCCGGAGTGCCGACGAGGATGTGATCGGTGATGCGAATGCCGCGACGCCAAGACTTTGGGACGGCGAGGAAGGTCTTGATGGACGTGAACTGACCCAGAGTGTCGATGACAACCTTGATCTGGCGCGCGAGTTCGCGAGATGGGGCAAGGCAGATGGCCTGGGGCGATGTAATCGCAGGGTCGACACGCGAGAGCATATTCAAAGAAAATGCGGCGGTCTTGCCAGTCCCCGACTGGGACTGGCCGATCAAGTTGGTGGCCGGGTTGGCCAGTAGAAGGGGGAGGGCGTTCTCCTGGATCTTGGAGGGCTTCTTGAACCCGGATGCGTAGATCCCTTTGAGCAAGTCGGGATGGCTGAGATTAGTTGATGAACACATCTGGGGGCTTACAGCGGGAGCTCCTCGAACGTCTTGGCCGAGTAAAGGGGCGAGTTTGGGTCTGCCTGCTGGTCGGCAAGCTTGACCTCGACCTGGAAGTCATTTGAAATGAGGCCCGTCACATCCTCCTCCGCGCCGCCCGAATCAGCGCCGCCCGTCTCTGTGGGGTTGCCCCAACCTGGGGTCAGCGCCTCCTTGCGTCGTGGGCTGAGTCAACCGAGAAAGGTCAGGCAGTGCCAATCGTGATGCGCGCCCTCGCACAGTGACTCAGCGTGTGTGTGTGGCTCACCGTCGTCCATCACTGTCTTGCTTTCGTCGTTCTTGGCCTCGGCCTCGGGCTGGGGAGGGTCTGCTAAAGCAGGCTTTGCGTCTGCCTTGTCTGAGGCAGCAGCTGTAGAGGGAGTCGAGGACGATGCGCGGTCCTTGACACCAGCGAGAGCCTTGCCGAAGAGTGGGTTGGCAGTGTTAGGTTTGGGGCGCTCCTTGGGGGCAGACGGGGAGTCGGTGGAGAGGCCGCCGATGCGCGAGGCGAGTGAGGCGACTCCTGGAGAGGACTCGCGGGCTGCTGTTAGCGGCGCTCGTCGTCAGTGATTGAAAGTGAGTGGCGAGGGTGACCAGGTGAGATAAAGCGATGAGACGTACCTGCTGGTTGTGCGTTGGAGGTGTCAGAAGCTAGATGTCAACAACTGAGGTCGCGAGGTTGATGGAGGCGCGGAGGTGGATGAAGAGCAATGGAGAGATGGAGAGATGGAAACTTGAGAGATGAGAGAAAGAAGAGACGAGTGGAGGGGGGATGCCGGGGTAGGTGCGAGCTCGAGTGCGCGGAGAGGAAGGTGTGTCGCTCGCGATGCGCACCGTCACCCTCCTCTTCTTGTTCACACCGCAGTTCTGCTCTCTCTCTCTCATCCCCCCATCCCCTCGCCAATCTCCCCTTGCCGTTGGAGACGGGCACTTCGCGGACGCCCATCAAGCTCGTCCGATTGCCGGGCACGACGGTCATTCCGCTCCATCCGCCAGGCCGCCAGCCTTCTGCCTTTGGGCACCAGACGCACTCCCCCTTCCCCCTCTCTCTCTTTCTCTCCTCACACTCACCAACTTCCGACTTACCCATACCGCCAAGCCGCTTGCGAAGGTCGTCAGAGCTCTCGTCAAAATCGTCGTCGACGTCGTCGGCCCAGTCTTTTGAAGACATGCTGAAAGGTGGAGGGGGGCGCAGGGGCACGGGGGCACGGGGCAGGGGAGGGGCGCGGCGGTCCGTGCGATGATCCGTTCGTAGGGTCCAGCACGTGGGTGCGCGCAGACAAGGATATCGTGCAGTTCAAGTGGCGGATGACAAGCGACGCGCAACAAGAATTAGCGATGGATGGAATGGGTTGGTGGGGTGTTGACAAGTGCAGAATCGCAGGCAACTGACGTAGGGCGGGTCAGTTCCGACGGCGTCAGGTCCGAGGCGTTCGCCGCTCACGTGCTTTACGATGCCCAACTCAGTCAACTTCTCCGAACTTCGCGGGCAGCCAGTACATGCCATGCGTTCTACCACGCCTAACTATCTCGCTATCTCTTCTATACCTACTCCTCATAATAGCACCGTGTGCAGTTCCTGTTCATGGCCGTCCCGCGTGCATCACACGCCCGCAGCCCTTCACACGTCCCTTTCCACAAGCCGCCGACGAGCCGCGGATTGCCTGCCAGGTTGAGGGCCTGGAGCGGCGCGCGCGGTGGGGGGATGAAGCGCTCCAGGTCGTTGTGCTGGAGATACAGGCTGCGGAGGTAAGGCAGCGCGAGGAGCGGGTTGAGGTTGCCCTTGAGCGCGTTGTGGCTGAGGTCGAGGAACTTGAGCGAGGACGGGAGCGCGGGCAAGGCGGTGACATTCTGGTCTGCGAGGACGAGCGACTCGAGCGGAATAGTGCTGAAGTCGCTGGGTGCGCGCAGAGCGGGGTTGGACACAAGCGTGAGGTTGCGCATCGTTGATGAGAGGTTGGCGACTGCGCCGCCGAGGTTCGTATACTGGAAATCGAGGGTGGTGAGGTTCGGCAGCGACGTGATGCCTGGCGGGAGGAGGGAGGAGGGGCGCTTGCCGTCCCCCACGATGCGGAGGGTGCGCAGCGCGACGAGGTCAGTGAATGACGGGGGCACCTCGGCCGGCACGCCAGGATATACGAGCTCGACGGCGGTGATGCGTCCCCGCCGGTCGCACTGCACGCCCTGCCACCCGTCGCAGGGCGCCATGTCCGCGCCCCACTTGCCCGTGTGCAGCCTCTGCACGCTCGACGTGAACAGAACGTCCATGAGCGCGCAGTACTGGCGCATAGCGCCGACTCCTGTCGGCGCGCCGTCCGAAAGGAAGTCATTAGGCCGGTCTGCGAGGCTCGCGACGCACGCGTCGCACGTGTACAAGATGCCAAGGCCGTACCCGGGGTCCATGAAGGGGCGGAGGCACTCGTCCGGCTGCGCTTGGTCCGAGATAGACCCGTTGGGCGGGACATTGGAGGGTGCACCCGGCGCGTCGGCGGCATCAGGCGAGCGCTTGACTTTGAACGGGACGACGATCGCGACGATGATAATTATGAGCAAGACCGCCCCGACAACCCACTGCCGTTAGCTCGCCCGCCGCAATAACTCACGCTTGGCCGGATGCGGGCGCGCCAGCCCCGCCGCGCTTTCGGCGGCTGGTACATCCCGATATTGTACTCCGTCTTTCCTGGTGACCGTTGTCTTGCCTGCGGCGAATGGAGCGAGCTCGACCACGCCGCCATCTTGGGCGAAGCTACGCGCACCCGCTTTTGTTCACGCATGCTCGCCCGCTTCGTCTTGAGGATGCCCACGAGACCCGATTTGCGCTTCCCCGAGTTCGAGGTCGAGTGCGAGGCCTCCTTACTCGCGAACGGTGTAAGCGAGACGTTGAAGAGCGGGGGTGTCTCCGACGCAGACGCAGAGTCGTCCCATTCAGGACCGACATGTGCGGGCCGGTGCTTCTCGATCTCGACGCACATGCTGTCCTGTGAGTTGCGCGGCGCGAGCTTCTCGAGCGCGAGCGAGCTGTTGCTCCTCTCGAGTTTGAGAGGCGGTGGCGGCGCTCGGCGGGATGTGGCGCGTGGCAGACCCGCCGACTTAGACGAGTCGGAACGCGCCAACGACACTGTCAAGCTCGGGTCTGTGCAGTGCGCACCAAAGCCGGGCGTGATGGTGAAGCCGTCGCGCGGCGGCGAGGGCTGGGGTGAGAGTTGGGGCGAGGGATGGGGTGACGGGTGCGAGAACGACGAGGGCCGCGCCGAGCGTCTCCGCCTCACCCGGTCTGCGGCGTATCCGGGCGAGAGGGGCGGCGAGTGCGCCCACTCGTCAATGTTGATGGGGTAGAACGCGTGCGCGTGGCGGTGATGGTCATGTTCGTCGTCGTCATTGTCGCATGCGCGGCCCTTGCCTTTGTCCAGCACAGTGTGCTTCTCCTCGTCCGAGGCAACTGAGCGGCGGTCCGCTACGCTGCCCGACACCAAACTCGCGCGCGTCAGCACAGCGAATTGTGCAACTTCCTCCGCACTGGGTTCGTACACCCGCGGACTGGGGCTGCGGTCCGAGCCCTCGCTCGAGTACTGGCTATCGCGGAGCGTCTCGACGTCGACGAATGCCAAAGGCTTGTGGGTGCCGCGAGGCGCGTGCGTCGGCGGCGCGGGGAAGTCGGCCGGCAGTGGCGCCGAGGGGTCCGAGGCGCTGAGGGAGCCGGCAGACGTCGGGCGCGTGGGTGTGTCTGGTGTGAAGGGGTCCGTTGGCAGGCCAGGGGCTCTGGAGGGCTGCGGTATGCCTGGCGCACTGAAGATCACGCTCGCGTGCTGACTGTGGATGGCGGGCGGGGAGAGGACGTCGACGTCGTGGGCGGCGCCGTCGACCGCTGGCACCGTGATGAGTGGCGGGCGTGTGAAGGGATTGAGGTTGCGCTTTGGAGTCATGGCAGTGGCGTGGATGGGGAGGGAGGGAGGGAAAGGGGGGAGGGAAAGGGGGGAAGAAAAGTGATGTAGGCGAGCGATGGGTGCGGCTAAGAGCTACGATGGAGTTGTGTGATGGAGATCGGGCGATTTACGGAGAGTCTCTCGCTGTCGCTGCCTTCGTCGGCGATGGGTCTCGGACGTGGTTAGATGGAAGAGTCAGAGTAGGTCAGAGAAGCGACAAAGAGTCGCCTTGGTCAGTTGGCGGCAATGGCTATTGTCCACCACGCACAGTGGCATGTCACCGCCGCGCCACAGTGCCGCCGGCTCGGGGACGTTTCAGTGCATCACAGTTCCAGGGGTGGGCGTCGGGCTCGGAATCCTCGTGCTGGCGCCACGTAAGATGGCAAGTGTGGCGAAAGCAAAGTGAAAGTACAGACAAATCGACAAAGGCGGCGAGGATGACGATGTGACGACAATAGGTCTGTGCGATCGCCCTGGTTCTGCCGTCGCCCCGATCCGCGCGGACGCTTCTGTTCGTTCCTGCAATCTTGGTTGCTCGGATCGGTGATAATGTCATGGGTGAGCGTGGCAATCGTGGCGAGACGACTACCTTGTGATGGCGTTCAGAGCGTCCTCAGTTGCTGATGGATGATCTGCGGCCACCTCGCTATTCACTCACGCCCCCACTTTGTTGCGCTGCTGCATGTACATGCACATTATTATTCTACATGTGTATAATCGACATCTAAGACCGCCAGCTCCTGCGCTTGCTCCCCGTACTCTTGGTGCTGAGGCGCTTCTTGTCCTTCTTAGCCTTGAAGTCGCCCGTGTGCGACATAAGGCTCCTGCGCGCCTTGACATAGCGCGGGTCATCGTCGTCGTCGTCACTCGTGTCGTCGCGCATCCGCCCAATCCGCGTGTCCCAGGTGCTGCGCTGCGTTGGCAGCGAGTCGTCCGACGCATTAGCGTTCGCAGCCACGAGGTACATCCGCGCACGCTCCTTCTCGAGCTCGCGCTCGTGCGCCACGTTCCGCTCTTCGGCCTCGCGCTCCGCCTCGGCTTGGTAGTACTCGGCCACGTTCTCGCGGTCGGGCACCTCAAGTCTTACGCTCTTGCGACGCTGCAGCCCGTCCTCGGGCAGTGGAGGAAGGGGCGCGTTGGACTTGTCCTTGTCTTCCGGGTTGATGCGCTCGTTATTGATTATCTGGAACGCGCCTGCGTCAACACTCTCATCGTCGCTGCTATCATCCAGAGTCATAGAGGCGCGGGGCGTCGCTGCGTCCTCATTCGCCGACTCGTAGATCGACGCCTCGTCCGTAGACCCCATCCGCCGGCTGCTGCGCGTCGACGGGGCACGCTCTGGCTCGGGGTCAGGCGGAAGCTGTACAGGGCCAGGAGCATGCACATCGTAGAGCGTCGTGATTTCGGGCGGCGGGCCGAGCGGCTGCGAGGGGTATGACGAAGGCGATGTCGGGCGCAGCGCGCTCTTCAGCGGCGGCGAGCGCATCTTGGACGGCGGGAGAGGCGAGACAGAGCGCTTCTGCTCCTTCTCCCGAAGCACAGGTTTCTCAGACGTTTCTTTCTTATCCGACAGCGACTTGCGGCGCTCAACCGACTTGGGCGGGCGCGCCGGCTTCTTCTTGGTCGAGTTGGCACGCGAGATCGAATCGTTGGGGCCAAGCTCGTCATCCTCGGCGCGGTGCTGCGTGCTCGGCCGCGGGTGGTGCATGACCTGGGACGGGAGGACGAGGCCAGGAGCAAGTGATGATCCCGGCGCCTTGACGAGCTCCATCGGACCCTGCTGGGACTGGGGTGCCTTGGGCACATCGGGCATGGCGGGCGGTGGGGCGTCGACGATGGACATGATGGACTGGCCAGGTTGTGTCGAACGCGAGCGGGCAGTTATGGTCGAGGCGCGCTTCGTTCCGCCGGGAGCTGACTTGACTGTGTTAGAGCGCGTGACAGTGGTAGACGTTGCTGTAGTCTGCGCGCGGCCTGCCGCCGAGGCCGGTCGTGGGCGTGGAGTGACCGTGCTCGCCTTGGAGGCGGCGGCAGCTCTCGGCGAGGAATGCGCAGCAGCAGAGGCAGGACGGGCACGCGGTGTGCTCGACGTCCGCTTCACTGATGCCGACTTCATCGGGACCTTGCCGACATCAGCGGCATTCCATCCCGCAAAATTCGCGCTGCCACCGCCTCTCATCGAGTTGGACACGCTGACGAGGTTTCCCATGTTGTCCTCGTCCGAGCTCGAGTCGGAGCGAACGCGTCTGCCGTACTGCTGCGCAGGGCGCGCGTCCTTGCCCCAGGCACTCCCCGACGTAGAGCGCCCATGACGACGACTGTGATCGTGATGCTTTGAGCCCTTGAAGAACCTCGCGATTGAAGCGAAGAAGCCCTTGCGCTTCGTCACTGTCCGCTCCGACGACGAGTCAGAACCGGCACGGTGCGGGCGCACCATTTCGCTTGACATGGCGCGCCGCAGCGGCGGAGACTGCTGGCGTGCGTACCGCGACGGCTGCCCAAGCTCGGATGTCGCTCGCCGTCCCCCCGGTGGGTTGAAGTCCCTCATCGGAGGGGCGGAGGCGAGGGGCTGGCTCTGCGATGCTGGCCGGCGGACATTCTCGTGCATGACCAGCGTGCCCTGCCCTGGTTCGTCATCCGAGCTGCCCTCGTTCTCCTCCCGCACCGATGTTATGCTACCCGGACCGACCATCGGCTGCATGTGGCGCTGCTGCATCTGTCGGCGAGGTGAGACATTGGCCGCAGGGCCCAGTGACTGGCCAGACTCGTCGTAACCCACCTGCGACGCAGACTGCGACGGAGCCAGGGACCCGTTGGACTCGAGTTCGAAGTTGTTCGCGTTGGCGACACCGTTCGCGCGCCCCGGCAGCTTCTCGAGGTCCTCGAGGCCCTGACGCGCCTGGTTGAGCCACATCTGAGACACAATCTCCATGGCGCGGAAACGTTCTTCGAGGCCGCGGTACATGACGTTGTTACGTTCGTCCTCGATCTTCACCTCGAGCGCTCGCAAGTGCTCCTCGCACCCGAGAAGCTCGGCCTGCGCCTCCTTGAGCTTGGTCGCACGGCGGCTCTCCTTGCCCCCTGGTCCAGCTGTCACACCCGTCATGTCCGACGCCAGCGAGAGGCTCGAGGCGCGCGACGACATGGTCTCGTACTCGCGCATCTGCTCGGCGCTGAGGTGCTTTGCCATCTCCTTGAGGTCTGACTTTGTCGGCCGCGTCTTGGTTTGCCTGATGAGGCGGCTGACGAGAATCTCCTTGTCGCGCTTGACTCGCGTCATCTCCTCTTCGAGCAGGTGGATCTGCTTGAGGTCCTTGCGGAAGTCGTCGAGGCCGCGAATGTAGCCTGCCCACCCAGGAGTTGGGGGCTCATGTTCTGCGCCCAGCATATGTGCTTCGGGATTCTCAAGCATGGAGGGCGAGAGCGGGCCCTCGAAAGCCGAATGGCGCACTGCGCGGCGCACGGAGAGGAGAACGCCCGGAGACGAGGTGACATAGGCGAGGAGGGAGGAAGTGGACGAGTGCGACTGCGAGAGCAAGGCTAAAAGCGAGGTGGTGAACAGCTTCTGTGACTCACTGCGGGCGGAGGTCAGCAGGCATAAGCATGGAGAACGCACAGGTAGTTGCTGAGCAAGCGGTCTGATGAAGACCGGTGCGCCCCGTGGCCGGGTCGGAGGTGGTCCATCTCGGCGTGCGATGCTTTCTAAGGAGAGCGTTTGGTAGTTGTGTCAGGCCAAGTCGCGGAAGATGGATGTCGAGTGGCGCGGAGTGACGAGGGCCGCGGGGAATTTGTGCAGGTGGATCAAGTGTTGTTGATGGCAAGCCGCTCCGTGGTGGATACTTTAAGTGCGAAGAAGGGAGTGAGGAGGAAAGAGAGGGGGCGAGAATGAATGAGAGAGAAAGAGAGAGAGACAGAGAAGAGAGAGGGAGAACGAGTTGGAGCTAGTAGTTGCGGGATGTGTAAGATGATGAGGAGAGGGGATGCGACGACGACGACTGTGGATAAACGACGGGTCATGACGCCGATTGATTCGGTCGCCGCCCCCCTTGGCCTCTACGCCTTGCCCCGGCCCCTTCGGCCAACTCGCGACGGCCAAGCGCTCGGGCCTGACTTTGCGTCCCTCCGGCCCCCAGGCCCCCACTCGCTCAGGGCAGTGAACTCTCAACGACGTCACCGGGGCATCCACTCTTCCAACCGAAATCCTCATTTGATTCCGCCGACTCCACAATTGTCGACGCGGTCTCTCCTATTACAACTCGAATTAGCATTCGGGTCCTAATAGCGTACCTCGGTTTATCAGGCTCTCACCACGCGACATCCACGCGAGGTCACGTGCTAGGCTCAGACGCGTGTCTCCACGCTGGCGGAGGTGGATGTCACTTGCTCACGTCCACCTCGTCACATCTCCATCCCTCCCACCACCACCTCCCCCCCCCTCTCCTCACTCCCCACACTCCTTCCACCTTCGGAGCCATGCCTTCAAAAAAGGCGGCCTCCGGCGCCGCAGCGCCTCCCCCAGCCCCGCCCCCCGTGCAGGCTGTGCCTGCCCCGGCGGCCCCCGTCGCATCGATCGCCGACGTAGAGGTCGTCCTTCCGCCCAAGACTGCGTGGCCCCTCCCCGACATTCCTACGAGCACCATTGACAACACGCAGAGTCTGTTGCGCTTTGTGATTCTGGCGTTCATCACGGGTGCCGCCGTTGCGAGCCGTCTGTTCGCTGTCATCCGTTTCGAGAGTGTCATCCATGAGTTTGACCCCTGGTTCAACTAGTCCGTTTTGTCTAAACACGTGTACTGACAGCAGCCGCGCGACGAAGGTGCTCGTCAACGAGGGCTTCTACGAGTTCTGGAACTGGTTCGACCCCACAGCTTGGTACCCACTTGGCCGCACTGTCGGCGGCACCGTGTACCCCGGTCTGATGGTCACTTCCGGCCTCATTTGGACCTTCCTTCACAAGATTAACATGCCGGTCGACATCCGCAATGTGTGCGTGATGATTGCCCCGGCGTTCTCGGGCCTCACTGCTCTTGCGACGTACGGCTTCACGACCGAGATGGCTGCGCCCTCGACTGGCCTGCTCGCTGCGGCGTTCATCGGCATCGTTCCGGGCTACATCTCGCGTTCGGTCGCTGGCTCATACGACAATGAGGCCATCGCCATTTTCCTTCTTATGGCCATTTTCTACTTCTGGATCAAGGCGCTCAAGACTGGTTCGGCTCTCTGGGGCACCGTTTGCGCCCTGTTCTACGGCTGGATGGTGGCTGCGTGGGGTGGCTACGTCTTCATCACCAACATGATTCCCCTGCACGTCTTCGTGCTCGTCCTCATGGGTCGCTACAACAACCGCGTCTACGTTGCTTACACTTCGTGGTACGTCCTCGGCACAGTCGCGTCGATGCAGGTCCCCTTTGTCGAGTTCCTGCCCATCCGCACGTCCGAGGGTATGGCCGCTCTCGGCATCTTTGGCCTCCTCCAGCTCATTGCTTTTGTCGAGACGGTACGCAAGCTCGTTCCCGGAAAGCAGTTCGAGCTTCTTTTGCGCGCTTTCGTCGCCCTCGTCGCTATTGTGGCGTTCGTCGTCCTCGTCGCCCTCACCTTCTCTGGCTGGATTGCCCCCTGGACTGGCCGCTTCTACTCGCTGTGGGACACTGGATACGCCAAGGTGCACATGCCTATCATTGCGTCGGTGTCGGAGCACCAGCCAACCGCATGGCCCGCGTACTTCTTTGACCTGCAGATGCTTATCTGGCTCTTCCCTGCTGGTCTCTTCTGGGTCTTCAAGGAGCTCCGCGACGAGCACGTCTTCGTCATTGTCTACGCCTTCTTCGCCTCCTACTTCTCCGGCGTCATGGTCCGCCTCATGCTTGTGCTCACTCCGATTGTGTGCGTGTCGGCGGCCATTGCCCTCTCTCGCCTCCTCCACGCCTTCATGGACCCGGTGCTTCCCACCGTCGTGGAGGACGAGGCACCCAAATCCAAGAAGGCTGCAAAGAAGGCCGCAAACGTGCAGCAGCAGTCGGCTCAAACATTTGAACTCTCTGGTCTGCTGTCGGGCAAGCGCTCGCAGGGTATTTTCCACCTTGACTCGCGCATCTCCGTGGTCGCCGTCATCGGCCTGCTCCTCATCATGTTCGTCCACCACTGCACGTACGTGACATCGTCGGCGTACTCGTCGCCATCGGTAGTGCTGTCCTCGCGCAACCCCGACGGGTCGCAGAACATCATTGACGACTTCCGCGAGGCATATTACTGGCTCCGCCAGAACACGGACAAGGATACAGTCATCGCGTCATGGTGGGACTACGGCTACCAAATCGCCGGCATGGCCGACCGCGTTACACTCGTGGACAACAACACCTGGAACAACACGCACATTGCCACTGTCGGCAAGGCCATGGCCTCGTCCGAGGAGATTGCGTACCCTATTCTGCGCAAGCACGATGTTGACTACGTGCTGGTCATCTTTGGTGGACTGCTGGGCTACTCTGGTGACGACATCAACAAGTTCCTGTGGATGGTGCGCATCGCCCAGGGCGAGTGGCCCGACGAGGTGCACGAGCCCAACTACTTCACGCCTCGGGGAGAATACGCTGTGGACGACCGGGCGTCGCCGGCGATGCGCAACTCGCTCATGTACAAGATGTGCTACCACCGGTGAGTAGAGCACGAGCAAGACAATGCAGTTCCCCGCTGACCCCAGCTTCCCGGAGCTGTACGGCGGCCACCCTGCGCAGGACCGCGTGCGGCACCAGGTGATCCCCGCGCACGGCAGCCACGAAGACTTGAACGTCATCGAGGAGGCGTTCACGTCGGAGAACTGGATTGTGCGCATCTACGCTGTGAAGAAGGAAGACCCCTTCGGACGCACGCTGCAGGAAGCGACAGCGTTCCAAAAGGGGAGCAGGCCCAAGCCGCGGGCGAGGAAGACGCAGTAAAACGCGCAGTGCGCTAGATGCATGTAGATGATCTTGACCCAGTGATCATGTTGTCGAGGCGCAGGAGAGTGCAAGTCCAAAGCATGGAATATGCCGGCATATTCGCTGGCGAATTCCACCACACTACTCGTAGGACAGCACTCTTGCGTCTCCGTTCCCTTTGAGGCAAGTCGCACCGCAAGAACACTACACCACAGCTCGTACATTTGTGCATCTGATCGCTACTGCCTTCCTAGCGTTGCCGGCGTCAAAGCCACACCACACGCACCACCGCCGTCAGATCTGCTTCACTCCTTCTCCTTGGCCTCGTGCCCCCGGTGCGGCCCCTCGCGGTGGTGGTCGTGGTGCCGCACCCCCGTGCCGGGCGCAACCTGCTGGCCGGGTCCCGGCTCGCCGCCGCCGTGCCCGTGCGAGTGGTGGTGCTCGTGTCCATCGGACGCGACGTCGCCCGTGGTAGGGTTGGGCACCGAGGTCGTGCCGATGGTGCCGGAGAGGTCGATGCTGGTGTGAGGGAGGCGAGTCACCAAAAGCGGAGACATACTCTTGCTTGGACATGGTGAAGTGTTGAGTGCGAGTGCGAGTGCGAGTGCGAGTGCGAGTGCGAGTGCGAGTGCGAGTGCGAGTGCGAGTGCACATGGGAGAGCAAGCGAGTGTTATATGGCCTTGCATGGTCTGGACTAACGACGTCATCTGCGCGGGACAGGTCACTGTCACTAGGCCGTGGGCCAAGGGAGTGCCAAGTGCCACACTCCGAGTCGCAGCTCAACAAGTCTAGATCCAGATCGGCAATGTCCCATATCGCCTATGGCTGATTGCTGATCGCGCTCGCCATGTAGATATGCATGGATGCGCCTCATGCCGCCCACCACACCATTGAAATGGCCCAGACGGCGATGACATCAGCTACCCCGCATCCCCGGTCACGTGCCCATTCACGCCCGCCTCGTGCACGTATGCACGCTAAAAAGGTACCATCCGTTCCCACGCGCCGCCCATCCACGCCGCGACACGTATCTACACTCTTTGACGATCTGTTTGGCTCGGCGCACAGACTAGAGCGCTCATGCCCGCACCGCCGCGCGGGCGTCGCTCCCCGTGCTTTGCTTCGTCTCCCGCTTCTACATCGGCCGCGACGCTGCATCTCGTACAACAAGCTGCTATCCTTTTCCTCTGCTCGACGCTTAAAGCTTGCCCTTGGACGCCTTGAGCACGCCGTCGAGCTTGGTCGCGAGCATGATGTTGCCCTTGACCTTGAGCTGGCCGGTCATGAACGCCTTCTGCGCGTTGAGCTTGCCGTCCGCGAGCGCGACAAAGGTGTCTGCCGTCAGCCTGCCGTTGGTCGTGGATATCCAGCGAGCTCTGAGCTAGCGCCCCCAGGGCCTAAATCTGGATATCCGCTGTTGGCCTTGGCCCTCACCGTCACCGAGGTTGACAGTCACGTCTGCTGTCAGCTCCTGGCCGCTGCACCCACGCCACCACAACCACTCACCCGGCTTCTTGCCAGCACCCTTGGTGACCGTGCCGTCCTGCTTGAGGTCGATGACCCAGGTCTGCGACTTCTTGTCCTTGGTCTCGACGTTGATCTGGAAGATGCCGTTGGTCTGGCGTCAGGCGTCGCTCCGGCTTTACTCCACCTTCTTGATCTGCTTCTGCTTCTCGGCGTCGTCGAGCGAGCTGAACGCCTTGGCGACGGCCTGGGGTCAGTGTCGGGCGCCAGCAGCGACGCACGGCGAAGATGTCGCCCGACTTGAAACCGGTCTCCTTGAGGTCGGACATTGTGATTAGTGAGGTGGAGTAGAGTAGGGAGTGTGGTGAGATGGATGCGGGGGAGTTAGTTGACTGAGTGGTTGTGATGATAATAAGACGAGTGGACATGTGAGCCGGGTATTGGAGGCTGCCGAGTGACGCAATCAAGAGACGCGTCAAACGCGGGGTCCACTCACCGCGCGTGGCTTGGGGGGCCTATCACCTCCTGGCCTACTTTCAGTGCACGCCTATCCCGGCGAGAACACGTGGAAAGTAGGCGCACGCCTCGCGTGTCTTTGTCGGATGTGGGGTCGCTGCGAGTTTCCCTGAGGGTGCCATCTTGCAACCTTGCATCAGATGCAGAGTGTCCCTGACTTACCCCTGGGGGCCCACCCATGATGCTGTCCAGAACGCAGGACCTGAACCCTGAAACTTGGGTGGGTGGAGGGGCATCAAGCACTGCCTTCCTTGTCACTCTCCTCGCATCGTCTAATTATATTCCTCGCTACAGCTCCTTCACACTCTTCACAAACTACTCGTGCTCTCATCTCTTGATATCAATCCAGCAAGAACACGGCGCAGTGCGCTCTCTCCAGCGCGCGCTCATCGCAACAAGACTCGCCAACTCATTTTGGATTTGGACGAGACCATCGCCAAGCCCACGTACCCCCGTAACGTCAGGTTTCGGTCCGGCCCTCGCCGCCTCTCCGCCCGACCCTCGTCCATCCCTCATCAACTCATCAGCACCACAACACAAACAATTCCAGCACTCCATCACCAGCATCGAGGTCATCAGCCACCAACCCACATTCCCTCTCACTCCTCACAATGGAGGCCGCTAGAGCAGCGGCGTGGCTCGCCGCGCGCGCCGATCCCACCGCCTCTGCCTCCGCCTCCTCAACCGGCAGCGCAGTAGCCGCGTCGAGCTCCGGCTCCGGATTGAGCGTGGGGTCGAACCCCTCGTTCAAGATCGTCGGCGTGTGTCTCGCTGTTGGCTCTGGGCTGTTCATCGGCGCCTCGTAAGTACAGCTGGCTGGCACCAATCTCACACCAGCTTCGTTATCAAGAAGAAGGGGTTGCTGGCGTCGACCGCCAAGAGCGGAAACGAGGCCGGCGAGGGTCACGCATATCTCAAGAGCAAGATGTGGTGGACAGGCATGATCATGATGGTCATCGGCGAAGTGAGTCGTTGCTGTGCATCGTGCATGCCTCAATGCCGTCGCCGTGGCTGACGACAGATCCTCAACTTTGTGGCGTACGCCTTCACAGTAGCGATTCTCGTCACACCACTCGGTTCCATCTCGGTCGTTGTTGCCGCCGTTCTCTCCCATTTCTTCTTAAAGGAGACACTCACATTCTTTGTAAGCATGCCCGAGGCGGACGCGAGCTCACACACAGGGCTGGATCGGATGTACGCTGTGTATCCTCGGCTCGGTCATCCTCGCACTCAATGCACCGCAGGACCAGAGTGTACGCACAATCAACGAGTTCAAGCATCTATTCATCGCCCCGGGCTTTCTCGTGTGGGCTGGCTTGTGTATCATCGCCTCGCTTGTCCTCGTGTTCTACGCCGCTCCACGCTGGGGCAAGACCAACATGATGCCGTATATCTCGGTGTGCTCGCTCATTGGCGGCATCAGTGTGTCCTGCACCCAAGGTCTCGGTTCCGCCATCATCACCTCGATCCAAGGCGACAACCAGGTCAAGAACTGGTTCTTCTGGTTCCTCTTCGTCTTCGTGGTTGTCACGTTGTTGATCGAGTGAGCGCACACCCACCCAGCACTCCCGAGCTGACCTCAGAATCAACTACCTGAACAAGGCGCTCGAGCTGTTCAACACGTCCATGGTCGTCCCCGTCTACTTCTGCTACTTCACCAGCGCAACGATGGTCACCTCCTTCATCCTGTACAAGGGCCTGAAAGCGCCCGCACTGGATCTCGTGACCATGGTCCTCGCCTTCCTAGTGACGTGCTTGGGCATCACGCTCCTCCAAATGTCCAAGGTGGACCCGAAGGCACTGAGCGGGCTGGACCGGCGGACGACGATGCTGCTCGCAGCCTCGAAGCACGGCACAGAGGCGGAGGAGAAGGGCGACGTGCGCGCGATGGAAGAGCCAGGGATGGACGCGCTGCGCGGCGGCTTCGGCGCCGTGGGGAGCATCATCCGCGCGCGCTCCGTCAGCCGGCGCATGAGCAACGCGTCCACGACGCCGTACGGCGCGGCGCGGCACAACACGGCCGGCCTCGCCCACCTCCCGCGCTACCAGCTGAGCGACAACCCGATGCCGGAGGAAATCGCCATGTCGCCGCAGACGACGGGGCGGGCGAGCACGCTCAAGTTTGGCGCAGAGGACACCGTCCACCAGTACGCGTACACGGAAGGCGGGCAGCGCGGGACGGGCCACAGCGACGCATACCACACGACGCGGCAGAGCAGCGGCGTCGCGAGCTCGGGCTCGGCCCTCTCCCTCCCCCCCCTCCGCGAGGGCGTCTCCCCCACGGAGAAGTATGCCGACCCATACCTCTCCCCGGGGCTGCACCACCAGGCCGAGCGCAAGACGTCCTTCTCCCAGCTCTTCAAGGGCCTCACGGCCAGCAGCCCTACCGAAGAGCATCCGCGCGCCGGCCGCGGCGTCCGCTATCCCCAAATGCGGGGTGAGGACGCCTCGGAGCGCGAGGAGCGCGTCGCCCTCGTCGCTGAGCCCGAGGACATACGCTCCGAGCCGGACGAGTATGGCGAGGCCGACCTCGGGTCGCCGCCGGGGCGGCTCGTCGCGCCGCTCGGCGAGGGCGTCAGCGGGAGTGGGAGTGGGAGTGGAGCATCAGGTCCAAGAAAGCCCATGGGGCCGCGGAAGAGTGGGCAAAACTTGAGCATCGACACGGGGAGGCCGATGGGGCCGCGCTAGTTGTACACGGACGCTTGATGCGCATTCGCGATTCTTGATCAGATGACCTAGACCTATGACCTATGTGAAAGTGTGCATTATGTTACATCTATCCTGCTCGCGCGCTTACCCGCCGCAATCCCTCGTGCATGCGCGCCATCTCGGTCAGCCGCTCCTCGAAGCCCGCCATGAGACCCGCGAGGACGCCGCGCACGTCGGGCGCGCTCCCTGCCGCAATGGAGGCTTCCCACGCGTCAATGCCGCGCTGCGCCGCTTCCTCGGCCTCGGCGCCTTCGCGCAGGCTCGCGACGCCCACGCGCAGCTTGCGCAGCTGCCGGTTCGTCTCTCCCGACGCCGCGCTCGCCTGCACGGCCGTGGCTGATGCCCGCGCGAGCTTGTTCAGCGCCTCTGCGGCGTCGCTCGTCGCGGCCCCCAGCTCGGCCGTCGCGGCCGCCAGGGTTGAGCGGTGCCGGAGAGGCTGCGGTGCAAGGCACGGGGACGCGGGCGCACCGTTCAGAGAGGGGAAGGACGGGGACAGCGGTGATAGCGGCGAGCTCGGCCGCCGCCGGTGTAGAGGGGACTCTGGCGAGTCAGGCCATCGACTAGACAAGGGTGAGTTGTGGTCGAGCGGCGAGAGGGGCGAGCGCTCGTGTTCGTCGTCGGTGTCTACCTCGCGAATTGTTTCGCGATCTCGAAAGTTGAGGGCTGGAGGTCTTCGCCTTGCGCGCGGAGACTGGTCGCGGTGAATAAGCGCGTCGACGAACGCGAGGTCGTCCTCCATTACAATAAGCTGCATCGAGTCGAGGTCGCGCACGAGCGCGACCGCCTCCCGCGTCTGCTCGTCGCGCACACGCTCCGCGGCGCCCATGCGCGCCACATGACCCGCGAGGCGCTCCTCAAGCGGTACACGGTCGCGTTCTCGGTCGCGAGACACTGCAGAGGTGTCGCGTGAGGGCGATCCGGGTCCGTCCATCGCTTGCAACAGCGCGAGCATGCGCTGTCCCGCCGCCTGGGTCGCGCGGAGGGGCGCGAGATCAACCTCGTTGTCGCTCTCTTCTTCCATTTCCAGTCGCCGGGACACGCGTATGCTCATGCTCCCTGCTGGTGTGCGCGGTCCTCGCCCGCGCGTTGGGCGGCGCGGCGTACGCGAGAGAGAGCCATACTTGTCGACAGGATCGGGTCCCAGCGTGTCCTCGAGAGGATGCCCAAGCCCGTTCTCGAGCCCGAGCGGTAAGTCGTGGGCGCGCTCGTGTTCCAATTCCGCTTCGTAATCTGGCAGGGCCAGGTCATCGACCAGTTCATCTGCTAGAGTGCCGCCTGGAGTCAGCGCCTGCGTGGACTATATGCGGGCTGCAGCGTGTGACTTTGCACCCATACACCTGCCACGACTCACCCCCACCCATATCTCCAAACTCGTCGGCGAGACTCAGGCCTGGCCCCGAGGGCGACATGGGAAACCCCGAGTCGAGGTCTAGTTCGTCCGCGAGCGACGAGAAGGCCATTATGCTGGGTGTGTCGGAGGACAAGGGACTAGGGCGGGTCAAGGGGAAGGAGGAGGTGAGGAGGGGGAGTGCGCTATCCCGCGAGGAGACACTAGATGTGAAGCGAGGCGGAGGAAAGTGGACAGTGCAGATGTGGAGAGTGATGGATACGCGGATCGTGGAAGTCTGGCTGTGCGCTGTGCGTAGTCGTGACTGGGCCGTGCTCGTGTTCCGGCAATCGTCACCTCTGCACGGCGCGTCGGCGCCTTATCACACTCTGAGGACAAGAAGTGAGGTGAAGCGACGGGCGGGGAGTAAGGTGCGATGCGGCCGCGAAAGGTGAGACAGGCGAACACGAAGGGGCAGAGAGGCGGAAGTGACGCCGTGACGTATCTCCCGTCCGCGGATCTGGAGTCGGCGGTGTCGTGCAGCAGTTGGTCGACTATTCCGAGTCCGAGTGCGCGACGGGTCGAAGGGGAGGAGGAGCGAGGAGTGGGGTACAGTAGAGTAAGTGAAGAGTAAGACCGACGAGTGAAGAGGGCCAGGACGGCTGTGATGGGCGCACGGGCCCAGTGGCGAGGGTATGATCCGGGGAGTGCGTCCTCGTCGGCCTCCGCTGGCTCTTGCGGACAATGTCGGTCGTCGAAACGACGTGAGTGAATGAGAAGAACAAGATGGACGAGAGAAAGACGATGGGATCGAGGAGAACAAGAGATGGCAATGGCGAACCTCGACGTCGTGACTTTGGAACGGGTGGTGGCCAGGGTCAGGGAATGGAGGGACGCGACACGACACGTAAAACGTCAGGCACCCGACAATGGCAGCAAGATGGGGCATGTGGTGCAGCAGTCGAGCTTCCATTGCTGTGGAACAAGAGATGCTGCGGGTGGCCGAGACTCGACGGCGAGTGTTGGCGCAGTAATTTCAGCTCAGAATAGAACAACTTGGAGAAGCTCAAGTTGGTGCGTGGCTCCCCACCAGCTCTGGCAGGCCACAGTGCCGTATACCCCCACCGCACTCGACACGGGGCACTATCACATAACGTTTTACTAAACGGACAATATGTTATCTTACTCGGCAAAGTCCTCCGCGTACTCCTCAGCCACCTGGGGTTAGCGCGCGCGCGCTGCTCCGCCCCAGCACCCAACGCCACAGTCGTTTCCCAGATCCATGCTCCGGCCCCGTTGCGAACGATCGAGCGGCCACGTGAGGTGTGCAGGCAGGCGGGAGGCGCGCAGGGCCCACCGCTCTCAGCCACCAAGAACACAAGCGCAAGCGAGCGCACTGCCCGTCCGAGTACACTCACTCGCAGTGCGCTCCAGAACACTCACGACCACAGGCCCATCACACCATGCTCGTGCTCGCTCCCCGGCCCTTTCCCCATGCTCGCGCTCACGCCTTGCGGCACACCATACACCGGACGCTACCCCAACCACAATCGACAAAACGGCGCTCTATGCACGCATCTTGGCGCCCTTAAGCCGCGCTGGCACTTACCGCCTCGGCCTCGTCGTCATACTCGTCGTCGAGCTGCGCCGACTCGTCTGTGGGTGAGCACGGCCTGCGGGGAGGAAGACCAGTCGGAGCACTTGCTCAGACGGCTGCGCGCCTGAAAGCAACTTACACTGGTCGTACTCGTCGACGAGATCGGACAGGTTGGACTGGGGTGAGCACAATTCTAATGAGAATTCGATGCCGCTAATGCGGATCTCGTTGATGGATATCGGTGACCCAGGCACGATAGTGCCTGACACCCGCAACAATTTGCCGAAAACCTGCGCGTTTTCGCAGACGACAACAACTAACCTCTGCCTCGGTGAACTCCATCTCGTCCATGCCCTCGCCCGTGTACCAGTGTGTGTATGCGCGGCGCTTGCTGGAAAAAGTTAGTATTATTCAACGCAACGAGCGTTGACCCTCTGACTACTCACAAGAGCTGGCGGAACTGGACGTGGGAACGCTTAAAGACCTCCGAGATGGCGGTGGTGTTGGCAACGAGGGTGGCGGAAGCGACCTGGCCGATGGGAGGAACAGTGCAGAGAGTAGTAAGAGCACCGTTGGGAATCCAGGGGACAAAGTACTCCGAGTTCTTGGACTGGTACTCGTACACCGAGTTTTCGATGTCTCGCATCGAGAGCTTGCCGCGGTAGGCGACCGAGACGGTGAGGTACTTGCCCATGGCGGGGTCGATGGCAGCAAGGAGCGAGCGGCGCTGGAAGAGGGCGTTGGTGAGCTCGGGCACGTTGGAAGCGGTGTAGGCGCGGTTCGAGGTGGCAACGAGAGGGGCGTAGCCGGCGGCGAAGAAGTGGAGACGCGGGAAGGGGACCATGTTGACTGCGAGCTTGCGCAGGTCCGAGTTGAGGACACCGGGGAAGCGGAGCGTGGCTGAAGATTAGGGTGTGTCGACGCTGTCAACTCACAGGTGAAGCCAGTCATGACCTTGGCGATAAGCTGGTTGAGGTCCTTGTACTCGGGAGCCTTCTGCTTGAGGTCGTTGACGCAGATCTGGTAGAGAGCCTCGTTGTCAATGCAGCAAGTGATGTCAGAGTTCTCGACGAGGATGTGGGTGGACAGGATGGCGTTGTATGGCTCGACGACGGTCTCGGATACCTTGGGGGAGGGGAATACGGAGAACGTGCAGAGCATGCGGTCGGGGTACTCCTCGCGGATCTTGCTCAGAAGGAGTGTGCCGAGACCAGAGCCGGTACCACCGCCGAGCGAGTGAAGGAGCTGGAAGCCCTGGAACGAGTCGGAGCTCTCGACCTGCTGGCGGAGGACGTCAAGAATGGGGTCGACGAGCTCGGCGCCTGTAAATTAGTCAGTCGAATTTCACCGTGTCAGACAACGCACCCTCAGTGTAGTATCCCTTGGCCCAGTTGTTGCCGGCACCGCTCTGGCCGTGGACAAAGGTGTCGGGGCGGAAGAGCGTGGCGAGGGGGCCCGAGCGGACGAGGTCGACGACACCAGGCTCGAGGTCGACCTGGACCGAGCGGGGAACGTACTTTTGGTTCGAGGCCTCGTTGAAGTAGACGGAGACTGGGTATGTCAGCAGGATTGTCGGCGGAGGAGGAGGAGGAGGAAGAGGAAGAGGGGCGGTTAACTCACCCTTGTCGAGCTGCTGGTCATCGTTGCCGACATACTTGCCGTTGCCTGTGCGTCAGAACTGCGATGGATGGCGCGGGCGCGCGCGCGGGCCGCCAGAGACGGTGTGGCGGGCGCGGGGCTGGGTGCTCGGCGGCTCTGCGCGATACGTACGGTCAAGGCCATGCTCCTGGGATGGTTAGCGTGAGTGTAGCAAAGTAGCGCACCTGGAGGATGTTCTCCCAGAAGGCGGTACCGATCTGGTTGCCGGCTGGACGTCAGTTTATGGACAGTGTAAGTTGTGCGGAGGCGCAGCGCGTGTCGGTTGAACGAGCAAGCGATGGCGCAGCGTCAAGTCTCACCCTGTCCGACTGTAAAGTGTCAGCGTGTGTCAATGCAGCGGGAGCGATGGAGAGTGGTGGGGGGAGGATGTGAATGCTCACCCGAGACGCTGATAATCTCCCTTCCCATGATTAGATCAAGTTAACGAGTAGTGGTGGTGGAGATGATGATGGGGAGGAGTGGTGGAGAAGAGAGTTGTTGACTGGGTGGATGGCGCTAGAGGGAGAGTCAGGTCCAGGGGCATCCAACCCAAGGTCCAAGCTCGTGAGGTCTGTGCTTGCTGCTCCTGGTCCTCCTGGTGCTGCTCGCGGCCCTGAACTCTGCGCGCGCGCGCGTGGGGAGACAAGGCACCGTACAACCACAGGGACGCGTGACTGCACGCCTGTCGAGGTGCGGCATTTATCAGTACCCAAAATGCCACGCGACAAGTTGAGGCATGCCTATTTTGTTGGCCAATAGGTCTGCAGAGACCCCACGTGTCAGTCGCGCCGATACCACGTGATGTGCACACGTGTTTGATGGCCGTGAAACTTTGGCCAGAATGAGGGCGGTAACCCACGGCAGGCACTGATTTACTGTTTTGCCAAGCAATATTAGAGGCCGCCCCACTTGTTCGGATACGCCTGTTATCTCGCTCCCGCGCTCTCTCGACAGTCGTCTGGGCAATATGAAGATGCATCCTCCAAAGCCTTGCACGCAGGCTAGGTCTCGAGCCCTCTTCCCAAACCCCGTGGCACCCAACATGCTTGTCGAGTGATTTTTACCCCCACTACTGATATCAAGGTTGAGAGGGATACGTACCCCTTGGGACCTGGGCAAGTGGGCCGCCTCCTGTACCCTGCCGCAGTCATTTGGCCCTGTCGGCAACGGTCCAGCTCTCACCGGCATCACCGGTCTCTCACCGATCCTCCTCCTCCCTCACAACCTCGCTAGCATGCATCTCCATCTCACTCTCACTCTCCCTCTCACCCCACTCACGTCCCAAGCTTACCATGCGCACCATTTTCGCGGCAGCCGCACTCGCGGCCACCGCCCACGCCGTCCACCTGACGCCCGAGCAGCTCAACACGGTGTGGGACCACGCCGTGCGCCTCTCCAACTTCTCGTGCGTCCGCACCTCTTACCCGCTGATGCCAGATGGGAGAACGGGACGATCGGCCAGACTCTCCTCGAGTGGAAGTATCCCCAGCTGAGCGTGTTTGCGGCCACAGCCCCGCTCCCGCTGCCCGACCTCACGCCGGACCAAGTGCCCGACATTGTGCGCCTGGCATCGGACACGCTCGCGAACCGCCCGCGCAACTTTTCCAACCCCGCCCTCCCCGCGGCGTCCTCGAGCGGCGAGGCGCCGCAACGGCGCCAAGAGACACCGACCTCGGTCCCCGCGCCGGCGGGTACGGGCACGGCACCGGCCGCGACATCGAGCGCCGCCCTCAACGTCCCGCTCGCGGCCAACCCGCAGCTGCCGCGCGGCCAGCCGCTGCTCGAGGACGGCGCGGCGGGCGACCCGCCGTCGGTCGGCGTCGCGGTCCTCGTGGCTGACAAAGCCATGGGCGGCGCACAAGTCAACGGCGTGTCCTTTATGCAGGCGGCGCAAAGCCAGCTCGACTACCTCCTCTACGGCGTGCCGCGGGTGAGTAGCTCTTGTGATGCGATGCGTCTGTGCGTGGCGCGCGTGCGCGCATGCGTTGGCTGTGGTTGTGGCTGCCGTCAGCCAGCAGCCAGCTTGTTTGCGTGCCAAGGGTCACACGCGGCAGCCAAGTGGCGCCAAGCACGCCGCCCCTGACATCGCCGATTTCCATCACCTCCACTCCTAACGCCAGAACGCGGACGGCGCGATCTCGCACCGCGCGGCCTCGGCCCAGCTGTGGGCGGACAACGTGTACATGGTCCCGCCGTTCATGGCGTACTTTGGCGCGGTGACGAACAACCAGACGCTCGTGCAGGCCGCATTCGACCAGATCGCGGCGTACCGCAAAGGCCTGCAGGACGGGGAGACCAAGCTGTGGCGGCACATGAGCGAGGGCCCCGAGGCCGAGGACCCGAATCTGTGGGCGACGGGCAACGCGTGGGCTGCCGCGGGCATTATGCGGGTCCTCGCGACCATTAAGCGGTCGCAGTTTGCCGGGGCGATGGGCGACCAGATGACGCAGCTCCAGGTGTGGGCGGCGGAGATTATGACGGCGAGTAAGAAGTATATGGTGAGTGCTACGAGCGCCGCTACGAGCGCCGCCGCGAGCGCCGCAGGCGCGAGTGCAGCGGCGCGAGTGGAGGCAAGTTTGCGCGCAGTTTGCACGCCAAGTCGGGCACAGTGCACACCAGCGGGGCATAGCTTGCTTACCCACTGGTGCACGGTCGCACTGCCACCCACCCCCTGCGACACAGTGCCTGTCTTGGCGCGTGACTACCCAGCGGCGTCAACTCACACACAGACCCACGACGGCCTTCTCCGCAACTACATCAACAACGGGACAGACTTTGTCGACGCGGCCGCGACGGCGCTGATGGCGTCGGCGGGGTTCCGGATGTCGACGCTGAACCTGACGAACGACCACGTGGACATGGCCGTGTCGATGCTCGCGGGCGCGAGCCGGAACGTGAACGCGACCGGCTTCCTCGTGAATGTCACGGACCCGTACTCGTTCCACAAGCCCGGCACGTACTCGCCCGAAGGCAATGCGTTCGTCGTGCTCGGGTACGCAGCGTACAACGACTGGGAGAGGATGGGGAAGCCGGGCAACACGCGCGGCAAGGATCCGCTGGCTGGCGGGGCGGGGCGGGTCGGCGTCAGTGCGGTGGTGGGCGCGGGCGCGGCCGCGGCCGCAGCGCTCGCCGCGCTCGTGGTGTGAGGCAAGCAGTAGACGGACACTAGAATGCATGCGTATTGTCAAAGCGGAGCATGCCGATAGCGGATCGGCAGATCGCGAGATTGCCGCACCTCGGTTGCTAAAACACCCACACCGGCGCCTCCTCCGTCTCCACGTCGTCCGTCTCGCCCGCGTCCAGCACGCCGTGCGGGATCTCACGCGCGTCCTCGTCGTCGAGCGCGCGCAGCATCGCGGCGACCCACCGCTCCCACCGCTCCGCGAGTGGGTCCGCGTCGCGTATGTGCTTGACGGGGGCGAGGCTCGCGTCGTCGAGCGGGCCCGCGATGCGCAGCTCGGCGTAGTTGGCCGCGCGCGCGCGCCGGGCAAAGTACGCCGGCGCGCCGGGGAGGAGGAGCGCGAGCCGCCGCAGCCGCGGCTTGTAGTTGTATGCTTTGTGCAGGTGCATCCCGTTCAGGAGGGTCGAGAAGGCGAGGGCGTCGAGGTATTCGGTGTACTGTTGTGTGCGGGGG